GCCAATTGTTCTCTGTCTCTCATTCCCCATCACCGTCTATGGCCCGAAAATTAGATCCCAATTGCTGTTCTTCTCAGTTTTTGCATCACTCCGTCTCAGCTTTTATCCATTTTTTAATTTTTATGTGAATTTTACTTTTTATCTGGATATACATATGTGTGAATAATTTCGGACTAGGGTTGTTGAATTGTTGATTGGCATTGAATTGTTGAATTTCGGACTAGGGTTGTTGAATTGTTGATTGGAATTTTTATCTGGATATATATATGTGTGAATATATACGTGACAACCACAGATGCCAAATTAGAATGGGAAAAAAAATAATATCAAATTAACAAAACACAAGGCGGGAAACTTAACTCAAAACTAGTACCAAATTGCTTGTATCTTTATACGAATCAATAAAGCATTATATTAGAGTCTAAAAGCTAAGAGATCACCTCACAAATAAATTTGTCACTCAAGGCTTCTAGCTTGTGAGGAACAAGGTGATCCTCAAAATCCCCATGTCCTAGTTGACCGTATTTGCTCCAACCATATTTTTTGGTAGGACTTATTAACATGTTTCCTTCCGTTTTTAGTGTTATTATGCATTCATGCTCCAGTTACTTAATTTTTTGCCACTATCTAATAATGTTATTTTTATATTTCACTAGACATGGATGAAAGAAAGATTGTGGCATGCTTCATTGTTAAGTTGTGGTACTTGAATATTGTGACTTGGTTGATGATGTGGTTTATGATGAATCATAATTCAGCTAGAAGGCGGAATCGGCAACTTGCACTTAGAAATCGCACATTTGTTAGGAGAATGGTAGGGTCAGCCTGTTTAGATGGCATAATAGGATATGATGATGTTCAGTGTGTGAACCAAATTAGAATGGATAGAAGAACATTCCATTATTTATGTCAGATGCTTCGTGACGACGGTAGAGTAAAATTGGATGGTGTAGTGACAATGGAAGAACAAGTTTGCATGTTTTTGCATATACTTGCACATCATGTCAAGAATCGTACAATTGGGAGTAGGTTTTGTCGATCGGGGGAGACCATAAGTAGATATTTCAATTCTATTCTACATGGAGTGTTAAGGCTACAAGGTAGACTTTTGAAAGTGCCAGAACCCATTCCTAATGCCTACCCAGATCCTAAATGGAGTTGGTTTGAGGTATTCTTCATATTTTATTAAAATTACTTCTAAAATTAATGTAATTAAATATATTGTGCTTACTAATGTTAATGATTTTTTTTAGAATTGCTTGGGGGCATTGGATGGGACTTACATTAACGTTCATGTCCCTGAGCGAGATAAACCAAGATACCGATCGAGGAAGGGAGAGATTGCAACCAATATGTTGGGAGTTTGTAATCTAGACATGAATTTTATATTTGTGTACTCAGGTTGGGAAGGGTCGGCCTCTGATTCTAGAGTACTCTGAGATGCGATAAGTAGACCATCGGGATTAAAAGTTCCCACGGGTAACAATAGATTTTTTGTTTATATTAGTAATTTGAATCCTCATTTTTCTTATATATAGTAATATACATTTTTTGATGTGTTAGGGTGTTACTACCTTGTGGATGGTGGGTATACAAATGGTTCAGGATACCTTGCATCGTATAGGGGAGTGCGTTACCATCTCTCGGAGTGGAGAAATAGAAGACTCCCGATTAATCATGAGGAGTATTTCAATATGAAACATGCTCAAGCTAGAAATGTCATTGAGAGATGTTTTGGACTACTTAAGATGCGTTGGAGCATCTTAAGAGGTCCATCATTTTTCCCAATTAAAACATAACTTAGAATTATGACAGCCTGCTGCCTATTACATAATTTGATTAGAAGGCATATGTCAGCTGATCCAATAGAAAATGAAATCCTAAACTTGGACGAATCTGAAAGTAGTGATGATGATGAAGATATGATTGAGACTGTTCAACCTACACAAGAATGGACTGCATGGAGAAACACTTTGGCCATGAATATGTACAATGAGTGGCGTGCACAAGTGTGATTTGATTAAATTTTCTTACATATGCATGTTGTCATTTGGTTATGGTTTGTTATTTAAACAAATAGTGATTTCTTATGTATTCGGTTATGATACTTAACAAAGTGTGACCTGGTTATGTATTTATTTAAAAAGTGTGATGATTTGCTTATGGTTTTTCACTTACTATTAATTATATGCACTGTTGATTATATGCTATCTTATTGTGTACGTAATTATAGGAATGGAAAGTGAACAAAGTAGTCAACCAAAAGGAAGTAGAAGGGTTTGGAAACAATATGAAGAAGATGCATTGCTGTCCATACTTGAGGATGCAATTGTTAAGAATTTGCGATGTGATAACGGTTGTTTCAAACCCGGAACAATGGCTCAATTTGAAACTGCTATTAATTTGAAATGTCCTAATGCCAATATAAAGGCAGTTCCACATATTTAGTCCAAAATGAGGAGGTGGAAAAAAGATTATGCAATAGTTTATGACATGGTTAATAAAATTGGTTTTGCATGGAATGATGTACGAAAGTGTATTGAGGTTGATAGCAATGAAGTATGGCAGTCCTATGTGAAGGTAATTCTATAACATAATACTAGAATTTAACTTTACATATTTGATTACTTAACATGTTCCTTTACATACAATTTAATAGTATGATTGTGTCTACCAAACCATATCCTCTAGCCCCATTCTGGAACAAAATAAGATTATTTGTATTTTATGGATAATGTGATTTGTTTTCGCATTGCAAGTTAACAAAGAAACAGAGGGCTGGCTAGGAAAATCGTTTCCATTGTGTGACATATTGAATGTTATTTTTGGGAAAGACCGAGCAACTGAAGTAGGAGCTGCAACTCCTACTGAGATAATGAATAAGCTTGAGCACATTAATGAAGATGAAGATGAAGATGAGGTGGAGACTAGTTCTCCTTCTGTTGCCCGACGGTCAAGCAGTTCAAGTACCCGGAAAAGGAAGAGAGCTGCTAATGATAATGATCTTGCTGTGGCATTTAAAGAAATGCTTTCTGAATCAGTGGATAATTTAGGTGAAGTTTTACAAGCTGCTTTTGGGAAAGGAGTGGATCCAAAACCTGAGATTGCTTCTGAATTGTCAAAAATGGATTTGTCTATTGAAGATCAAATCAAGGCACTAAATATTCTTTTCGAAAAGCCACATAATGAGAGAACATTCTTGTCTTTGGATGGTGCAATAAAAAAAGCTTTCGTACTCAAGTTACTTGGACAAAGTAACCGCAATTGACATTTCAAACCAACAATAATATACTTTGTTAAAAGCAGCATGCATATCTTTTGTTAAAAGCTGCAGCATGCATATATTTTGTTAAAAGCGGCATGCATATGTTTTGGCTATTTGGACAAACTGTTTCTTACTAAAACCAATTTGCATTTGTATATTTTATGAACTTGAATATGTAGTTGGATTATATAATGTAACGATTGTAGTTGTTTTTTGTGAACATTCTTTTATGTTATTGGAAAATATTTTAAATTTGATGTATGAAATTTACTATGTTTCTTTGTTTTTTGAAAATTTGTGTGGTTTTCAATAGGTGTAAATATGAGAAAAGTTCAACAAACAAAGAAAGATTTGTTTTTTTTTTTCTCTTGTCCTCTCCGGTTCAGTACCAAACACAGTATAAATAATACGGTCATTAATCCGAAACTGCACCAAACGCCCGACTAATTTAGTCAGTACTATCCGGTGGCTATTTATCCTATCCGACAGAAATAGTCAGTACAGTCCGAGCTGCCAAACGAGGCCTTAGGGTTTTATCATATAAAAGCCTATTTTTTATCTCGTTAAATAAAAGTATACAAATAAAAACCAATTTTTATCTAAAACTCTGAATTACAAACAATGCATTCTGTCAAAAAAAAAATAGTTGAATAAAATTATCCAAATAAAAGCCTTTTTTTTTAGGAAAACTAATGAAAAAGATTTTGAAAATTTTGAGTTTTAAACGATAAGAACAAAATAAAAGGTAAAGTAAATAGTAAATAGTATCAAGATTGACTTTTGAGTTTTAACGATAAGAGCAACTTTTCTTGAGCTTCAATTCTAATCTGAAACTTTCTTTTGAACCTATTTTAAAAAGTAGCAACAACAATTAGAAGATGGGCCACATGTAATGATTCATAGTCCAATTTACTTTAGTCCAAGATTGACCTAATTTTATGCATCGACAAATTTTAATCAAATAAAATGTAAAAAAAAAAAACAGACGATAGCAAGTAAGTTTTCGGGGTGATCCGGAAGACATGGATGTCAACAAAATATCCAAAGTACCACTAGAGGAGGGCTATGTATACGAAATGCATAAATAGGAATGCAAATATCCAAAGCACCACTAGAGGAGGGCTATGTATACAAAATGCATAAATAGGAATGCAAAGACGAGACGCTAATATCAAAATGTCCCTTTTAATAAAGAAAAAATCCAAAGACAAGGTGCCTATATCAAAACTCCCCATTTTAATAGTAGCTAAGTACTGGTAAACCAAGCTGTAATCAAACCGGAGCTGATAAGTACTGGTTTCATATACCCTTGTTGTGAAAAGATTCTCATAAACAACACGTAACTGATTGAGCACTTAAATGTGTCTTCGTGTACATACGGCATGATCAATTTATGAATTTCACACGTAGGAAAACTAAAAGAGTTCATTTTCCACATTGTTTCTTTCAGTTATCGGGCATTGTCCCCACATTAGTTAATGCCCTGCATTGAGATCAGCAATTCAATCAAATCTGGCGTCAGTCCAGTGACTTCAGCTAATTGAACAACTCAGTTGTTGAAAACATCGCAATTTTATGTAATTCTCTTTGAAACAATGGATTTGGGTACATGTGAAAACTCTAGGATCAGGACTCAGTCCAAAACAACATATGAGATAACAACCCTACGACTCTTCTATATGAATTAAACACTTGGAACTAGTGAAAAATGCATTGTTTTGCCGAAAGAAAAATAAAAATAAAAACTCGATCCTTATAGGAAGCCATCAGTGTGAACACATAATGTGAATATAGAAACATGGTGTGGGCTTATCCTTGAATATAAATAGGGTAGCACGTTCGAAGCTATGGAGCAAGTAAATCACACGAGAAAACGAGAAAGAGAGAAGAGGGAAGGGAGAAAAAAAAAAGAGACAAGTGAGCGTGATCATCCCCATTTAACATGGCAGCACCACTACCAAACCCTTTTGCGTGGCAATCTAACCACAACAGCAAGTACTTGCACTTAGATGGAGAAATCGGAGGTCAAAGGGGGATTCTCGAATTCACCGAAGAGGATCCTAAATATGTTTTCAAACGGGATACGTGAAAATCAAGTGCTCTGAAAACAAATTATACTTGAAAGGAGTGTGGAATCAAACTTATGAAACATGGTTGATCGTGGCCGCTGCTGAGAAGGATGATGAAGATTCCACATCCTTCGAGCATAAGCCAGGCAATTCAAGCTTCCGAATGCGCCATGTGAAGAGCAACCTCTATTTAAGGCCATACAAGATAGGTCATTCGGACGCAGTCCTCTGCGCAGTCAAGCCAGCTCCTGACGCTGGAAATGAGGATCTCTTTACAGCCTATAGGCATCCATGATCATAACTATGACTTGATGTTTGTGGGTAACGTCTCTGGAAACCCTCACGAGACTTCACTCGTTCCATCAGGGTCACCTATGGGTTGAAAAGGCTTGTTGCATGCGCTCAATGCAATCGAATTCCCTGCGAAAGTGGCATTAGTTTTCATCACTGGTTTTTCTTGGTTTTTTTTTTTTTCTAAGTACTTTAGTTTCACTGTATTACGTGTGTGTTAAACCAATAAACACATATCGTATGAGCTGTGTGGTTATGTCTTATGTGTTGTAGTGTTCAATAAAAGTTGTGTTTCTTCAGAGTTCTTACTTTTATGGACGTATGTACGACTTTAATTCCATATTTTGGTAGCTTTGAGTACTAAATAAACTAATTAAGAAATCGAGAAGGAACTTCAAACTTGCTACTCCATTCTAAATAAGTGAGAAGAGAAGATTGATATCTTGCATCAACTAGGGTTTTATCAGATAAAAGCCAATTTCGTATCTCGCTAAATAGAAGTATACAAATAAAAGCCAATTTCTATCTAAATAAAACTCTGAATTACAAACGATGCATTCTGTCAAAGAAAAAAAAAAGTTGAATAAAATTATCCAAATAAAACCCTTTTTTTTTTCTCGTTTTGCTGACATGTATAATATATTAGCATTTAGCAACTTCTTTCAGATAGAATACAAGCAGCTATGTGAACAAGTAAAATTATAGGCACATTCCCATCAATCGAACGGATCAAAAGCAATCTCGCAGGGGCCACAAGATTCGAACCATTAAGCAGACGAACCAAAACACAAAAAGATCGAACTGTAAACCGAAACTTAAAAGATTCAGAAGAAAAATAGAAGAAATGGAGAGCTGTTTTGTGGTTCATATTGGAGCTAATGGAACAGAACAATCGATCAAATTGTAGAGGGGACAAAAGGGGTACGAGAGCCTTGCATTTAGAAGAATCTAAAGATGGTTTTGAGAGAATAGAAGATACCCAGTTGTGCAAACTCTGATCGGTCGGCTCCGGTTGATCCGGAAGCTGCAATGGCGGCGGTCGTGGAGGTTCTTGGGGGCGGTGTTGGGCGGTGCGGTGCAGGTCACGCACGGGCGGTTGATGGGGGAGAAGAGAAAAGATGGGGTTTTGGGATTGAAAGCCTTCTCAAATCCATAGAAAAATGCATGTGATTAGCGCTTCTGGGTAAGTCGATTTTGTGGGTTTTGGTGCAGGGTTTATGAGAGTGAAGCTCCCATGGAATTTTGCTTTGAGATTTTAGAGGATGCGGAAGAGCCACGATGCTAGAGAGAGAGAGAGAGAGAGAGAGGGTCTTTAAGGTTTGTTATTCTGATGTGGCCCTTGTGGGTTTAAGGCTGTGCCGTAACGCAGAAGGCACAAGCAACAACCACGATTTATTTTTATATTTTTAATTTTGATTCTTGAAGAATATTAAAATTTTATAAAACATTGATGTAAATTACATATTCATTTTAATCTTTTATTGCGTACTTAATTCAAATTTATATCATATTTTTGTTTTTATATTTAATAGATATTTTATTTAATCCCTCCACAAAAAATTTTAAATTTATTATTATACACATTTTAATTCATCAATTTTATTTAACTTCCTCTAATTAGGGTATTTAAACGTATGTATTATAGTATTTTTTTATGAACTTGTGTAATGAAATGTTTTTACCTAAATGTATTGTAATGAATTAGTGGCACATAAGAAAATATGAAAAAACAAAGTGTACTGTAAAATCCATACCTAAACATATTATACTAACTAGTGTACTGAAATGTTAATACCTAAATATATTATAATGAAATAGTGGCACATAAGAAAATATGCAAAAAAAATTAAGTGTACCGAAAAGTCTCTACCAAAATATTTTCTTAATTATATAAGATACTTACTGACACACTCCGACCGAGATCAAGGCATGTTAGCCGTCACGTGAGAGTGACGTAGCCATATGCACAGTGCGGAAGCAATATAGATAAGAATTATACGAATAATTAAAAACTAATTTACTATACTAAACAGAACGTGATAGGAGTTAGTTACAACAGTAAACACTCATAATCAGAGCATAAAGTCTAGGTGCAGTCCAGTAGGACAAGTACTAGTTATACAGGACCAAGAATGTCCTACTATTATTTAGATAAGTCAGAACTGCCGACGTCCTCAAGCCACCAACAGCAAGCTTACTTAAAACCTGGAGGAGCGCAAAACAGAAAACGTGAGTGGGCAAAAACAATTGTTTTACAAAATCATTTCATTTATCAACATATCTAACCCATCGCTGTAAAACATGTATAATTTTTCCATAATCAAGATATAAGCATATACATATATATATCTCTCTGAAATCATAACAATTCAATTCATGCTTCACATAATCATATTCATATGTATGCCATGCCAAAATATAAAAGTAAACAATTCAGGTAAGAATGATTTCATAGAAATATGATATGTTAGCCAGAACTCCTATGGTAGTCTATACGGCTGAATTCATAGCTCAAAAGTCAATCTAGCCGGAGTCACTACAATGACCTATACGGCAATATACTACACATAAGTCGGAACCACTAAAAATGGGTCTGTACGACAAGATTGGGTGTAAATTGCTAGTCACCTACGAGTCGGAACCATAAATAAGGTCTGTACAATAAGACAATGCACTTAAGTTGGATCCAGTATGAGCATATAGTGCAGGAGGTGACGTAAATAAACAGGCATGTACTTCATATCTCTGGGTAAATCACAATTACCCTAGGTGCAGTTTTATGAGCTCAACATTATTCAATCACATATCACATCATCGATGATTCACATAATCAAACATAACTTACCTGAACTTACCTGTGCCTCCACAACACCACATTTATATATATATATATATATATATATATATGCAACCATGAATTGCATATTCATAATATAAAAGCATTTGGCATATTATTTCAAAGCATACATTCCTTAAAAATGCATTTCTGGGAAATATATCAAGTATATAAATATATATTGAAAACAAAAGCCCACTCACTGGTATGTCAAAGGGTCATAGCCCCCGAGTCGCCCGTGGATACGCTCGTCCTCGGGATAAGTCTCACCTATTTGCGAATTAACTATAAAAACGTTATTTTAAAGCACATATACAAAACTAGCTAATAACTTCTCATACAAAACTCAATTTTGGTATTTGAATATACCAACGTGACCTACACAACCTCACGAACATCGTGATATTTTTAGAATAATTTTTCTGTGGCTCACGCGCCCTCACGCGCCGGGGAGGGCACGGCCTCACGCGCCCTCACGCGCATCACTTTCAACCTCCAGAGGCCAGAATAATGTCACCGGCGTCGGATTCTGGGCAGACTTGCAACTGCCTCTTTCTCGCTCGTTTTTGCACCATTTTTTATAAAATTTTCACCAAAATGTCATAAATCACGAGAAGAATAAGGTTATACCTCTTGGGAGCTTCAAATCCCTCAAAAACTCGTCTGGAGAATCCTCTCAAAACTGGCCACCTTCGAACGTCATGATCCCGACGTCAAAACCGAGCTAACGAAGCACTCCGAGCTTCGTGAAAACCTCCTAGAGCTCGCGGTGAGCTTGGATTGTCCTGAAATGGGTACCATTGCACTCGTATGGTCCTCACGAACACAATGGTACCATTTTCTTCCTCGATCTGCGAAGATTTGGCTTGGTTCAAGGTTGTCCGTACGGAGGAGAGGGAAAAGAGAGTGAGTCCAAGAGAGAGTACGGGAGAGAAGAGAGAGAAATGATATGGATGTGTGTGTGTGGTTCCAAAATGTACACCAATCAAAACTCTTTAATCTTTTAGCTCTAATTAGGTCCAATTAGTTAGGGATAAAACTAATTGACCCAATTTCTTAACCTAAAATACAAACACACACCCGACGTTCAAGGGTAAATTCGTCTTTTCACAACCGCGATAATTATTTCTCGGGACGGGCTGTGACACTTACCATAAATTGGTGATGGAAAATGTCGACAAATAAAGTTAATTCATTAGAATTTATAATATTTTGCATAAAATGTAATTCATGGACACCATAAAATTATAAAAGAAAAACATTAAATGCATATGCTGGCATTAAACATAGTATAGAGACTAAAATTAATTTTTAATCTTGTATAAGACATTTTTCCAAATTTTATCTTATTTAAAGATTAAAATTTAATTTTATAGTTTAAAATTTTGACCAAATAAAATGTAAAAGAACAAAAGACAAAAGAAAGTAAATTTTTGAGGTGATCCGAAAGACATGGATGGCAACAACAGCATCCAAAGCACCAGTAGAGTCTTAACAGCTAAAGAAATGTAGAAGAAATCTTAGAGAGAAATCGAAGAAGAAGGAAGAAAGAGAGAGAGAGAGAGAGAGAGAGAGAGAGAGAGAGAGAGAGAGATAGAGAGAGAGAAGGAAACTGAACAGTCTTTCTGTATTGTATTGAATCAATGATTACACATGGTTTGCTATACATATAGTTGTTTACAATTAATGACTCAGCATTCTCTTTCTTAACCAACTAACTAACTTGTAACTGACTTGTACTAAATGGCATGTGGTGTATGTTAAGCTATTATACACCCTTAGTTATCAATTATTATCCCCCCTCAATCTTAGCTAGGGTAACCTAGTCTGAGATTGCAACAATGGCGAATAAAAGCAGGACCATGCAACCCTTTTGTCAAGATATCTATAGTTTAATGGTCAGTGGGCACATACTGAACTTGTAAATCCTTCCCTTGAACCTTTTTCACGAACAAAATTAAAATTTGTGTCCAAATGTTTAATGCGTGTATGAAACACAGGATTTGAACAGAGAGCTAAAGCAGAAAGATTGTCACATTGCAACAATGGTGGTTTAGAAATGAACTGATGCAGATCTTTTAACAATAGTCTTATCCAGACAATATCAGCTGCACAATGTGCCAAGGCTTTATATTTTGCCTCCGTTGAACTTCTTGAGACTGAGGCTTGCTTCTTAGACTGCCACGATATAGGATTGGACCCCATGAAAACAACAAACCCAATAACAGATCTCCTTGTATTCGGATCGGCAGCCCAATCAGAATCTGAGAAAGTAGTTAAGGAAATGTCATGTGATGCTGAATATGTAATTCCACACTGCAAAGTGCCTTATATATACCTTAAGATTCTTTTAACTATATCAAAATGTATATCAGTAGGAGTGTTCATATATTGACAAGCCACACCCATAGCATAGGACAAATCAGGTCTAGTAAAAGTTAGGTATTGCAAAGCACCAACTAGACTTCTATATGCACTTGGGTCTTCCAAAATCATACCTTCAGTAGCCAGAAGTTGAGTATGAGGCTTGCATGGAGTTGCAATAGGTTTACAGCCATCCATTCCAGCTTTATGAAGCAAATCGCTTGCATACTTATATTGATTGATGAAAATATCCCCATTGGCTTTATACTCAACTTGTAATCCCAGAAAATAACCCAATCTACCCATATCCTTTAATTCAAACACATCTCCAAGTTCCTGAATTATAGCTTGAACCTGATTCTTATTGGATCCAGTGAGAATAATGGCATCCACATATAGTAATAGAACAACAATATCAGTGCCATCATGTTTCACAAATAAACTTGTATCAGATTGAGACATTTGAAAACCCATTGCAGGTAAGTATCCTGTAAATTTGGCATTCTATGCTCGTGGGGCCTGTTTCAAGCCATACAAAGACTTCACCAACTTGCATACATATTCAGGATAAGTAGAATCCACAAACCCTTGTGGCTGTTTCATATAAACCTCTTCATCCAATTCACCATGCAAGAATGCATTCTTAACATCCAACTGTCTCAATTCCCACTGAAATTGAGCTGCAAGAGAAATGATTAACCGAATTGTGCTATGTCGCACAACAGGACTGAATGTCTCAAAATAATCTAGTCCATGTTCTTGATTATACCCTTGAGCTACTAATCTAGCTTTATATCTTGAAATAGACCCATCAGGATTCTTTTTCAGCTTGTAAACCCATTTGCTACCAACAACTGCTCTGTGTGTAGGTGAAGGGACTAGCTTCCATGTGGCTTGACCTTTCAATGCATCGAACTCTTCTTGCATTGCTCTTTGCCAATTAACATTTGTAGATGCACTTCGAAAGTTTGTAGGTTCTGCTAAATCATTAATTTAAGCCAAAAAGGAAAACCCTCCAGTACCATAGTTATCATGTTCATCAATCTGTAAAGTTGACAGCTGAGGAAAGCTAGCTATAAAGGCTGAATAATCTTTTCTTGAAATAGCGCCTGTTTGTAACCTAGTTTGCATCCGTGGAACAGAATTATTAGATTGAATATGCTCAAATACTTTAGAAGAGATTAGAGGAAGAGTTACCTCTAATTGTGCAGGATTGTGGACAGGTAACATCAAAGCTGTGTGTGGAGGAGATGAGTAAGTTGTTTCAGTTGACTGAGAAAATGTTGTTGTTGAAATATGAGGGCTTGTCCCAACTGTACTTGCACTAGTCTCATTAGCTGTTGTACTAACGGAATGTGGAGAACTTACACCTACTGAATCAGGTGTCATATTTCTGCTATCAAAATCACCAGAACGAGGCTGCACTAGAAGTGTAACAATAATAGGACCATTCACAGACCTATCTCTGAAAGATTCACTCGAAGAAGAATACTTGTTAGTACAACTCATGACTTTGTAAGGAAACACACTTTTATCATGTATAACTTGCCTGGATATAATTAGTTTCTGAGACTGCATATGAAAACATAGTGCTCCCTTATAACCTTCTGCATAACCAACAAACACACATTAAACAACCCTTGGTTGCAATTTGTTCTCATTATAGGATCAAATATAGGGATATACTGCTGTTCCAAATATCTTAATATCTTGTAAACTAGGCTTTGTACCAAACAGCAACTGATAAAGGGATTTCATCCCTAATGTTTTACTTGGCATCCTATTTATGAGATATACAGAATGTGCATAGGCATGAAACCACAAGTTCTGAGACAAATGAGCAGTGGTCATTAAAGTAATGGCAGTCTCTATGATGTGTCTATGCTTCCTTTCAGCCATCCCATTCTATTGAGGGGTGTAGGGACACAAAATCTTATGCACTACACCTTTAAGTTTCAAGAAATCATCAAACTGTTTACTTATAAACTCTCCACCTCCATCAGTTTGAAGACATTTAATGCTAACATTAAACTGATTATGAACAAAGCTGAAAAATCTCTGAAATACACCAAAAACTTCTGATTTATTGATTAAAGGAAATATACATACATGCCTTGTGAATTCATCGACAAAACTAACATAGTATCTATATCCTTCTATAGATCTAGTTGGTGAATGACCCTAGAGATCGGAGTGAACCTTCTGAAATGAAAAAGTAGATGTATTTGTCCTATCTAGAAACACCTGCCTTGACATTTTTTCAGAAATACAGAAGGAACATACATGTTTATTATCATCTACTGTAATAGCTATATCTGATAGTTTCATCATCTCTGAAAGCACTTCATTGCTGGGATGTCCAAGTCTTTGGTGCCAAATTGTAGACTTCACCTTATGTCCAAGTAATGCTACTGACTTCTGAACTGATGGAGACAAACACCCTGGGAACAGCTTTACTGGAATCTGAAACAACTCACCATCCTCACTCCTTCCTTGGTAAAGAACAGCTTTGGTTACCTTGTCTTGCACATAGAAATTTACATCATCACATATGAACCAACAGAAGTTATCTTTGCACAATTGTTTGACCGAGAGTAAATTCACAACTATAGTTGGCACATGTAAAACATTTCTCAAGATCAAAGAGTAAGGTAATGTATTTAAATGTGTAGACCCAATATGTATGATTGGCAAACCTTCACCATTGCCAATTGTAATTTTGTCATTGCCTGCATATGAAGTGACTTGTTGCAAAGAATCAATGTTTGCAGTCATGTGATGAGAAGCCCTAGTATTTATAATCCAAGAATCATTAGGTAAAACTGTTGGTGGAGCATGAGCTTGCATTGCTGTGAGAGTAGGAGCAGGTGGTGTCCCTTGATAGGCAAAGTTATTTCTGTGATAACAGTCTAATGCACTGTGCCCTTTCTTGCCACAAATCTAACATTCCATACCCTGTCCACCTGAGCTTGAGTGAGTAGGCCTTTTTCCAGCAATTAGGGGCTGTATGCCCTCTTTCGAAACAAATCTGACATTCATGCACTATGTTGGGCTTTATCTTAGTAATACCATACCAAGATTGCCAGCTTCCTCCATTTGGTCTGCCCCCAGAATGACCACCTATATTGTTTCCATAATTCTGAGATCTGTATGCACCATTCCCATTCGGCTTGGAACCATACTAAGGTCGAGAACCATTATTATGGAACTGTCTTGGAGTATTGGTTGTCCCCACAAAACCATAGGCACTAGCATGCTCATGATATCCTAAATCGTGAAATTGTGGAAATGGATAAGATGGAGGAAACATCACTGGTGCTGAAGACTGTGGAAAAGGCAAATGTATCGGAGCTTGAGACTGGGAAAAAGGATATGTCATCTGTGCAGCATTTGAAGATAATGCCCCTGAGCTATAGTGTTCTTGAGACTGAGAAAACGGATATGGAATATGTGCAACATTGGAAGATAATACTCCTGAGTTATAATGTTCTTGTGACTGTGGAAAAAGATATGGCATCTGGACAGCATTCGAAGATGATGCTCCTGAACTATAATGTCCTCCAAAAACAGAACGTGCACCTGGTACTAGTGTTAGAGTACCTCCAGTAATGAAAGGCACATTAACAGAGTTACTAGAAGACCCTTGAGCCATGGAGGAATAAGAACCAGAACCAGTATTCCCTTGCATATACAATCCAGCAATATTTGGAGACAAATTTTGAATAACAGAATCAGCTTCTCTTTCTGCACACAATAACTGCTCCCTAAACTCTCTTAGCGTTATAGTTGTATCTCTTGTAAAAATTACAGTTCTTATAACCGAATATTCTCTTGGTAAACCAGACAATGCTGCAACAATAAAATCATTATCACTCACTACTTCTCCCACTGCAACTAACTGATCTTTAATATTTCTAAGACGAGACAGATAATGATCAATCGAACTTGGCCCTTTCTGCATAGTCTGAAACTCTGTCTTGAGGGTATTAACCCGAGCTTTAGAAACAGATGCATATCGATCTTGCAAATTTATCCAAGCTTCATGCGCAATTCTAGACCCTAAAACATACTCAATTGACTCATCCAACAAGGTAGCAATCAATAAACTCAGAAAAGCAAGATCCACAGACTCCCATTCCAAGAATGCATCAGAAACTGTATTAGTGACCTCGTGATCCGCACTAACTACATACTTTAGTAGACAAACAGAACCATCAAAATGACCAAACAGTTTATAGCCTTTGAGAACAGAAGTAAACTGAAACACCCACTTCACAAAATTCTTATCATTCAGCTTAATGGTCAGCATGCCTAAAAGGCTCTCCACTTTCACAAATGACGACGTTATGTGTACAATTTGTAAGAAAACAAAGAATCTTCACACAGAACTTTAAGAACCTTCAATCCAGAACAGTAAACACCCAATTCAACAAACTACACAAATCAAGAAATGACTGGCTTTGTGCCCACAACAATCTACAGCAAAGTAATCACCAATGGCTTTGTGCCCACTACAAATCAAAACTCAAGAAATGGCTTCGTGCCTTCACAAACTACAGACAACCAGAAATGGCTTCGTGCCTCCAAATCGACATATTTGCTTACAACTTTGAACAATCACTAGCAATAACAGAACTACACAGAAATTAGGTCAAGAAAAATTAGGGAAATTTAACCTGAATCTGTCTTCAACTCACAGAACGAAGAACACCAAAATCACCATTGATGTAGCACGCGAACCCATAATCCACACAGAAGAATCACTGCCTCGATACCATCTTAACAGCTAAAGAAATGCAGAAGAAATCTTAGAGAGAAATCGAAGAAGAAGGAAGAAAGAGAGAGAGAGAGAAAGAGAGAGAGAGAAAGAAAGAAAGAGAGAGAAAGAGAGAAAAGGAAACTGAACAGTCTTTCTGTATTGTATTGAATCAATGATTACACATGGTTTGCTATACATATAGCTGTTTACAATTGATGACTCAGCACTCTCTTTCTTAACCAACTAACTAACTTGTAACTGACTTGTACTAAATGGCATGTGGTGTATGTTAAGCTATTATACACCCTCAGTTATCAGTTATTATAGAGTAGGGCTATGTACACAAAATGCGTAAACAGGAATGCAATCACAATAACAGTTAAGTATTGGTAAACTAAGTTGTAATATCAAAGCGGAGTTGATAAGTTCTGGTTTCACATATCTTTGTTGTGGAAAGATTCTCACAACCAACAAGTAACTGATTAAGCACTTGAATATGTCTTTGTGTACATATAGCACGGTCAATCCATAACTTCCACATGTATGAAAATAAAAAAAGTTCGTATTCCATCCATATTGTTTATGTGGGACCATGATTTTCCGGGCCGAAATAAAACTTATCTAAATGCTGTTACCTTAGAAGTCCGACCATGTACTCACTAGCTCTGTGCGGAGCTGTATCAGACGGAGTAGGGTGCCAACATCACTTTACTCTAGGGCACCAGGTGGACCATACTTGCGCTTAGATGAAAAATGTCAACAGTAATGCTATTTTTACCATGTTTTTATACTACATTTATATACTACCTTATGTGGTATCTAATGTGGACAGCCATATCATTTAAATTAATCAGAATTTAATTTAAATTAAAAACCACTTAATAAACCAATAATTTAAACTCATTTTAATGGTTCATAATAAGCTTTGAATTACAAACGATGCATTCTGTCAAAGAAAAAAAAAGTTAAATAAAATTATCCAAATAAAAGCCTTTTTTTTGGGGGGGGGGGGGGGGGTTTAGATCCAGGTCAAAAAACATAAAGTGTTTTTAGGAGTGAGTCCAGTTATCTAATTATATGTTTTTATTTCTTTTATACTCATTGTATATTTCTAAAAATATTAAAATCAATTAAAATCTTCTAATATTATGCATTTTCCAACTCCAAAAAAAATAATTAATATCTTATAACAAAAACACTAATATACGAACATAAATTTATCTGCAAAACATTCTACCCTAACTCCAGTAACAAATATATGAATGTATATTATACCTATACGTGAGATATGAAACCTAATTAAAAGGTAGAAAACATAACATAACTACAAGCAAGACACATTAATCTGTGACAGATTGATTATAAAAAAAGAATTTGTCATATAGGTAGATAAATATAATATAATTAACCTGTGGATTATAAAAATTAAAAATAAAATCTATAAATGAAGTTTAAAGCAGGAGGAAGAACGAGAAATAACAAAAAGATAAATAAAAAGAAATAAGCAAAGACATAATTGGGAAGAAATTTGATTTTTATAATAAATCTTATCATTAAACATATAACTATTGATAATTAAATAATTAAATACAACAAATTGGACTTATTTTAATAAAATGGATTATTCCTATTGGCTAAAAAATTGGACTTATATCAAGTTTCCCTTTTTTTTTCTCGTTTTGCTAACATGTATAATATATATATTAGCATTTAGCAACTTCTTTCAGATAGAATACACGCAGCTATGTGAACAAACAAAATTATAGGCATCCAAAAGAGTGTTAAAGTCTTTGTCATCGAAGTGTTGTAGTATCTTGTAAACGAAAGCATCTTGTTTCGAATTCACCTCCATTTGAACCAACATAATCAAAGCTTCCTTTACTATTTAAGTCAAAATGTATGGAACCCCACTCAACCTTAAGCTTTGTATCTTTATTTTCTTCTCTTATTCCTTGTTCATAAATCTGAAAAGTTGATCCATTGTTCTTCTTATGAGCATCATTCATCATCTCTGCTGTGTTTCCTCCTCGATCTTGTTCGCTCATATTCTCCATAAAATTCGATAGAGCCAAATTGAAATCCGTTAATTGTGCTCTTGTTGCTTCTATATTATGGGACCCTTTTACGTCGAGGGTGAGACCCTTTTGGGCCTTCTCCAATATGGCTTGCAAGTACTTCTCTTGAGCTTCAATTCTCATCTGCAACTTCTTTTGAACCTATTTTAAAAAGTAGCAACAATTATTAGAAGATGAGCCGTATGAATGTTGAGGTTCTATCCAAAACGAATTAGAAATGGGAAGTGACCCTCCTTAGAAGCCACTGCAAGGTTTATTAAACCTTCGATGTGGGATTCGCTTTTCACATCGCCACAAGTAAAAGCTAGAAGATTATTTGGACACTAAGTTCGATTTTAGGTAAATGATAGCAAAGCAACATACCTCAAGCTGTTTTGTACTTCAATCTGACACTTGAGAGCCTCCGACAATGGAATGGTTGTGGTTTCAGTATATTACCGTTAATTAGTATCCAGGCGCTCGAAACAATCGAAACAGAAAACATGTGATCATTAACTAGCTTAAGCATCTTTTGTGAATGGTTGAACTTTAAACAAATACAATGTAAAAGAACAAAGACAAAAGCAAGTAAATTTTCGAAGTGATATGAAAGACATGGATGGCAACAACAGTATCCAGAGCACCACTAGAGGAGGGCTATACGAAATGCATAACAGGAATGCAATTTTAATAGCATTTAAGAACTGGTATACCAAGCTGTAATCAAAGCGGAACCAAGAAGTGCTGGTTTCACGTACCCTTGTTCAGTTTTCCCACCTCCTGATGATTTGATGCCAGAACTTGTGGAATGAAGATTACTGAAATGTACATATGAATCCCCTAGAATTTTATAATACAAAGGCATTAGTAGATTATGAAGTTTTCAAATCAGTTACTTGCAGTAACTTGAGCAAGGAATCTAATTTGTTTCCAGTAGTTCGTATTTCGCTCACCGTTATTCTCTCGGCTTTGTTCTTCGACGGAGTTGTGTTTCCGAGCATGCTGTCCAAGTCTATACTTCGTGAATTGATGAGTTTAGTAATATGAGAGTGAATGAAGCTAAGTGTTATAAGTGAACAAAATAAAACAAAGAAAGAATAAGCAAAGAAAAAGAAGAAAGAATGCTTTTCAATGATATATTTATTTCATCTCAAAACAAGGTATATATACAACCCTATACAGATATGGGAAAGAATAAGGGAAAGAATAATTACACCCTAAACTAGGAAACCAATTATAGTAGGAATCCCACAATTATAGGAATCCTAATACAAGTCAACACTCCCCCTCAAGTTGGTGCATAGATATTGCACATGCACAACTTGTCTAGAAACGTGGAGAACTTGTCACTAGAAACCGCCTTCGTGAGAATATCTGCTACTTGGTCGTCCGTTCCTATGGGAGGAACTTCAATTACTTTACTATCTAGCTTCTCTTTAATAAAGAACCGGTCAACCTCTACATGCTTGGTCCTATCATGTTGCACGGGATTATGAGCAATATCACGAGCAGCTTTATTGTCACAAAATAACTTCATTGGCAGACCTTGTTTGACTCCCACATCTTGTAACAGAAACTTAAGCCATAAGAGTTCACAAATACCGAGTGCCATGCCTCTAAATTCGGCTTTTGCACTTGACCTTGATACAACATTCTGCTTTTTGCTTCTCCACGTTACTAGATTTCCCCCAACGAAGGTGAAATACCCAGATGTCGAGCGCTTATCATCCGTTGATCCTGCCCAATCAGGATCCGTATAGCACCCAATTCTGAAATGCCCATTTTTCCAAAATAGAATTCCTTTACCAGGGCTTCCTTTTAAGTAACTCAATATTCTCATAACTGCACTCATATGTTGTTCTCCTAGATTGTGCATATATTGACTAATCACACTTAAGGCATGAGCAAGATCCAGCCTAGTGTGAGCCAAGTACATTAATCTTCCTATTAACCTTTGATACCTCCCTTTATCAACCGGTACTTGGTTTTGATCTATACCTACCTTCATTCCTTCGGCCAACGGAGTAAACATCGGCTTACACGCTGTCATACCGGTTTCTTCCAACAGGTCAAGAACATACTTCCTTTGTGATAGAAATATCCCGGACTTGCATCTTGACACTTCAATCCCAAGAAAATATTTCAAAGAACCAAGATCTTTCATTTCAAACTCTATGGACAAATAACTTTTCAAGGCTGCTTGCTCAACAGGATCGTTACCAGTAACTACCATATCATCCACATACACAATTAGAGCTGTAACCTTTCTGTTCTGATGTTTCAGAAATAACGTGTGATCCTAATTACTTTGCCTATACCCAAATGCCCTCATGGACTTGGTAAATCTACCAAACCAGGCTATAGGAGACTGCTTTAATCCATACAATGATTTCTTGAGCCTACATACCTTTTGTTTCCGTATGTCCAACTCATTGCACCCTGGTGGAAGGTCCATGTAAATCTCCTCAGTTAGATCTCCATGGAGGAATGCATTTTTTACGTCGAACTGTTGCAAAGGCCAATCCAGATTTGCTGCTAAGGACAGTAGAACACAAACTGTATTGATCTTTGCCACTGGTGCGAACGTATCAGTGTAGTCGATGCCATATTTCTATGTATACCCCTTTGCCACCAACCATGCTTTAAAGCGATCTACCGTTCCATCGGCTTTGTATTTTACTGTATAAACCCATTTGCATCCCACAGATTTCTTTCCGGCTGGCAAGTCAGTTATTTCCCAGGTAGCATTCTTCTTCAACGATCTCAATTCCTCGTTCATTGCATCTTTCCAACGGGAATCTGCTAAAGCCTTCTGCACACTATTAGGAATAGATACAGTAGATAATTGATATACAAATGACTTATTTGATTCTGACAGGTGACAGGTAGACACATAATTGTTTAATGGGTATCTCACACTTGAATCAGAATTTGGCTCACTCATGGAATACTTATGTTTACACTTAGGATCTGCCTCATAAGTGGGTTTGGGAATACCTCGATTAATACGCTCTGGAAGACGACGAAGTGAAGGTGCATCCGGTGTAGAAGACGATTGGTTAGGAGAAGTAATATCTCGTGACACATGCTGTAATTGCTGCTCGGTTTCACTGCAATTAGGTGGCTGCATCTCGTTTTCCAACTCAATACCTGTGAGACCTGTGGCTGCTCCTCTTCCTGACTTGTTGGCTGCTCTTCAGTAGGCTGCTCAGTGGGATGATGGCCAAAATACACGGGTTGCTACCCTTCTCTAGGTGTCGTGGGCCGATCACCACAACACATGGGTTGTTGCCCTTCTCCAGAAGCCGTGTACTCTAGGCTCAACGTCACTATTATCTCGAGTCAGAACTTCTTCATTATTTCCATACTCCCCCTGAAGTGAAGACGTGGAGGATCCAAAAAACATTTCATTCTCGTGAAAAATCACATCCTGAGTAATAAACATTTTTTTACTCACATGGTGATAACAACGATATCCTTTCTGGGTAGTAGCATACCCCAAAAAAAACACAACGAATGGCTCGAGGTTCAAGTTTAGTCTTCCGTTGAGTTGGATGGAGGTGAACAAACGCAACACATCCTATGACCCGTGGGGGAAGATTGGGAGTCGGTGGGTTGCTAGTCTGAGATGTGAGAGCCTGAAATGGCGTATGGAAGTTCATAGTACTAGACGGAAGACAATTAATAAGATAGGTTGCAGACGTAAGTGCCTCTCCCCAATAATGGAGTGGCAGATGTGCTGCAAGAAGGGAAGCACGAACCATTTCTAACAAGTGTCGATTTTTTCATTCTGCAACCCGATTCTGTTGAGGAGTATACGGGCACGTGGTCTGATGAACAATACCATGCAACTCTAAGAAGGAACGAAGTTCCATATTAACATTCTCCCCCATTGTCACTTCGAATAACCTGGATATTCCGATTGTATTGTACAGCAATCATTTTATGGAACCGTTGAAAGGCCGAACTAACTTCACTTTTCGACTTTAACAAAATAACCCAAGTCATTATGGTACAATCGTCGATAAAAGTAACAAACCAATGAGCACCACCAAGAGTAGCTACTTTTGACGGTCCCCATACATCAGAATGCACAATCATAAAAGGAACGGTACTTTTATTTAAACTGGGAGGAAAAGAGGTTCGATGGCTCTTAGCCATTTCACAAACATCACACTTAAACTGAGAAACATCATTCTTGACAAACAAACTAGGAAATAACTTATGCATATAACCAAAGGAAGCATGCCCAAGGCTCCAGTGCCACATCCAGATGTCTAACACTTTATAAGTAACCCCTTGAGAATCATCAACGGAAAGAGCTTGAGTTAGCAAGCTAGAACTACTGGTGGTCAACTCCAAGTAATAAAGTTTCCCTCTTCTAATACCATAACCAATCATCTTCCGCGTCCGGATGTCCTTAAAAACACAAAAATAGGGCCAAAAAATAACCAAACAATGTAAGGCATGGGTTATTTGAGCAACGGACAACAAATTATAATTTAGAGAGGGAACCATAAGAACAGTGTCAAGTTTCATGGTATCGGAAAGGGAAACAGTGCCTTCCCCAATAACAGGGACGGCAGTACCATTAGCAACATTGACTTCGGTTTGTGTGGATGTTTTTAGTGATGGAACCTGTCTAGAATCACAAGTCATTTGTTCAGTAACCCCGGAATCAATTATCCATGTATTATTCATAACAAAAGTAGAAGTACTTAGTGCCTTACCATCACTTCCTACCGCAGCTATCATGGCAGATGCCTTGTCCGTTATCTGATCCGAATCATTCTTGGTTTCTGTAATGGAGGCTCGAGATTTGTTATACCGAGGATCACGAGTCTTATCCCAATTCTCAGGATATCCAATCAGCTCAAAACAGCAACTCTTGGAGTGTCATGTCATGCCACAATGTGGGCACTTACCTTGTGGACGATCCCGGCTTGTCTGGCTAGGCCGAGTTTGTCCAGGCCAGTTTTGTATCCCTTCTCGGTTCGACCCAAAAGATGATCCACGGGCCTTTGCTGCCATGGCAGCGGGCTCCCCCTTGTCAACCTCTGTCTTCATTGCTTCCTTTCGATCGGCTTCCAGACGAACATAGGCATAAGAAGCCTGCAGACCAAGTGAGGGATCCTTCCGCAGCACTTATCCACGCACCTGATCAAACCTATCGTCGAGACCACCAAGAAACACATAGACTCGTTGTCTCTCAGTGGATTTTTGAAACACTTTGATGTCGTTTTCACACTCCATGGATACTTTATTAAAGTGATCCAATTCTTGGAAAATCTCAGTGAGCTCCCCAAAATAGGTAGCCAAATGTCGTCCATTCTAACGAAGACGTGATGCCTTCTGATTCAACGAATAAATTCTAGCCTCATCATTTTCATCAAAGTAGGCTGCCTTAAGGGAATCCCAAATTTCCTTCGATGTAGACAACCGAATGTACCGTTTCATAATCTCAGGCTTCATTGAAGACAAAAGCCAACTCTTAATTTTTTGATCTTCAGAGAACCAATCATCATATTTAGGATCGTCTTCGTTAGGTGCCTTGATAGACCCATGAAGATATCCCATCTTTTTCCTTCCAGCAATATGGATTTGAATGAGAGGAGCCCATAAATCATAGTTCTTTTCATCCAAAACCATACCAATATTAAAGCTTGAATTCTCTGACTGCACCATAATTGGAGCAGTCGCTGGAACAATCTTAGAACCTGTCTCCTTTTCTTCAGCCATCTCTCTTGCTGTCGGTATAGCCTAAAACAAAATTGCAACTCTGTAATTGCCTAATAAAAGACTAGGCAGAAAAAAAAAAAAAAAAAAAAAAAAAAAAAAAAAAAAAAAAAAACTTGCGGCGCTGATGGGACTCCGAAATCGTTTGAACAAACTGACAAAACAGGTGGCAGCAACAATTTCACAATTGCTCGCTGCAATCGATCAAGAACACGAGCAGCAACAACTCCTCTAAGTTGCTCGCTGCAATTGATCAGGGACACGGCAGGAAAAATAAGGTTAGGGTTCGGTGTTTTCTTTTTTCTAACCCAGCTCTGGTGCCAAGAAGAAAGAATGATTTTCAATGATATATTTATTTTATCTCAAAACAAGGTATATATACAACCCTATACAGATATGGGAAAGAATAAGGGAAAGAATAATTACACCCTAAACTGAGAAACCAATTATAGTAGGAATCCCACAATTATAGGAATCATAATACAAGTCAACAGAAAATACCTGCAAATCGCTTTTCAGATGGTACAAAGTTAATCCATTCAATCCCATGAGTCATGACCCTCAAGACAGACTTTGGAGTTGCTTCTGAAAACAGATTAAACTTAACTGGATTAATTGGAGAATTAGAAGTAAGGCTGGTTTCGGTTTGGTAAACCGAAAATTGGATAGGGCTTTGTTTATTAGGCTGGATCTTTTGGGCTCTCCCAATTGAATCCCATATTTAAGTGACTTTGAGTGCCAAATTTTGATGTAACTTTTATGTGAGTTCGAGTACCAAATTTTAAGTAACTTCAAAATTTAAATGACATAGTAAATAAGTTTAATTTCAACTTGAAACTTGAAATAGAAAGCAACTAGTGAAATTCTCTATAGCCTCTTCCGGCCCAAAATGGGTGGATAACCGTGGCTTGCCTACGGTTGTCCCCCTTTCTAAGTTTTGCTTACCAAAATTGGACCGAAAAGTTCGGTAATTTTTAGTTTGGTAATTTCCGTTTCAATACTTTCGGTTTCGTTTTGTAATTTTCGATTCAGTTTCGGTATTTGATTCAGAAAATGTTAACCTAGTTAGAAGTTATCATGTAACATTATTAGTGGCTTAATGTGTTTTAAAATTTGAATGGATTAAACTGATCAAGAACAAAGTAGTGACAAAATCTAATACACATTCAAAGTTTCACCATGATCATAAACATTATGCACGATTTATGATGCTACTCGTATTTTGTTTTGTCAAACAATTTAACATGTTATATTCTCGGATTGTGAATTGAGATTAAAAGTATGCCAGATAAAGTATTGCTCAAAATTCAAATGTGCATATCGTCTAAACATGATAACATGCCCTATTCATTCAAATGGTTCCTACCCAAAATTCAATCAAATACCAGGCTCAAAAATCCCAAAGAGTTCATTGGAGTAACAAGAAGTAAAAGAAACAAGTCGTTGAAGGACAGAAATTCATCCTGAAGAAAAATAAGAAGACACTTACTGTCAGGGCCACCGAGTTTAGTTACAGCATCGACAAATCTGTCGTGAAGATCCGGCGTCCACCTCAACCTTGGTTTGGGGTCTCTCGTCATCATCACCCCATTCTCATATCCACAATTCCTTTCCCCTTCACAACTAACATAAATATTCCTCTCCATCAATTATTCAGATTAATTCTTCTAGCTTGTTGCAGCTGCTTTTGCTTGTCCGCCAAGTGATTCTCAGAAACGCAGAAAGTAGCTCCTGAGAGAGACTGATCGGAGTGGAAAGAAAGACAGAAAGCAGAAGCCGTAAGAAAAAGAAGGAACATAGAAACAGTAGCAAAAACAAGAATGCGTTGTTTTCAAGTGGTTTATTTATACTTATTTATTAAAACAGCATATGTTTGAAATCTAATGTAGAACTTTATAGATTTCGTAGCATTTAACTAAGTTGATCAGAGCAATATACTCCGCTTTTGCATTTGTCAAGTTTAGATTTTCTCCCCTAGTTAAGATTAAACTATAAGAGCACCCAAATCTCAACTAGGTACATAGCTACTTAATACACCACTAACTGGCAATGCATTTTTATAATAATCGCTAACTAGTTAGTAACGGTAATACTGCATGAATCAAACCGTTAATTGTATTGTATATTTGAATCGGAGAGAAAAGTTGGGCGACGAATCTGAAGAGGAAGCAGCAATGATTCCCTTAATAATAAAAGGTTTGGCTGGCGGGCTGGCTTATTCGACGGCAAGTCATGGTTTCTAACAAGGGTTGCACGTGCAGAGAAGGACACGTTACGAAATCTCCGCATGCCACGGGGACTTCGAGAATATTATCAGTGCCTTCCGGTAGGGTGGGTCCCTGCTGTAGGCCATTGATTTATGTCCGTGAAAAGCTGTCTCTGTCCATCCATCCCTTCCTCTTAGATTTGGTTGACATTATTTTTAAGAAAAAGAATGGTGCATTCATATGGTTGTATCAATTTTTAGAGGGGCACGGCCTCCTGCCGGTGGGGGACTCGGAGCTTTGCGTGTTTTAAAAATAAATAATTAAGGTTGGTTTTGAATGAACAACTTCGCTGACATGGATGCACCGCTAAATTATATTTTGTGTTAAGAAAATAAAGATATGTGAACAAAAATATATGCATAATTTTGTTTCTTTGACATAAAGCGTCATTGTGGTAGTATATCCTTCTCCAACCTTCAAGTCTTCAAATTATCGAGTTGTTCCAACAAAGGAAATAATGGTGAATGATGGTACACATGATTGGATTAAAATAGAGAACCCTCAAATTGCATAATGAAAGTGGAACTGTGGAATGGTTTTTCATTTGAAGGACACGAGAAAAGGGTTAGCTATGAAGGAAATTCATCCCTTCTAATCCTACCATTTTAAGCAGGATTGGATTGAATGAATTTTCTTCGAGAGTAATCCCTCTTCTATCCTCTAGGCCATCATAATTTTATATTTCTTCTTTCAACATACCTTAATTTGGTAGGCTATAAATTACAGTCCAATCACGTGTAAACAAACCATACATTCTTAATTTATCATTACATTAAAGAAGAAGAAACTCTATCCCATGAGAATGTCAAACATGTTTGTAAGATGAGCCAAGTTCCAAAAGACAGTTTTCCACTAGCAAAATTTGATTAATTGGAAAATATAACTATAAATTCAAAAATCATGTAGCAAATGAAACAAGAACACATGTACAAAATCATTGTTACACACTCATGCCTTTCGGATTAAAAAATGCACGAGCGACATACCTAACACTTGAAGATAAACATTCACTGAATGAAAATAATGAACCAGTTACAAGTTTGAGAATTAGTCAATACAACAAGGAGCGCGAAATAAAGCACCAGTTGGGATTAGATTTTGACAGAATCGACCGTCCAAGACGACAGGGCAAGTGCCAAAAAGGGGAAAGAATTGGACAGTCCGGTTGAAAAAATGGTTAAATCTTATGAATCCCCCACCAGGGATATGCATATAGACCCAGATACAAAGACTTTCAAGTTGAATTACCGGTGAGGGGGAGAATCATTACTCTTCGGTCTCGAGAGGCAAATTTTTTGTGAATTGGAAGAAGTTTGAATGAGAAAACTTATTGGGGAGAGTCATGAGTGGATCATTTCCACTGAGTTTTCGAACTGCCAATCCCAACGCATATCCTAAAGCTCGTGCAACCGAAACTGGAACTGCATTTCCAATCTGACAATACCTGCACAAAGAAATAAGACAATCAATGATAACTCATCTTATAGAATATTTCAGTTTTCTCTTTCATTTTCTTCCTCAGTCACATCACATCCTGCAGAAATAACTCATTCAAAGCACAAAATGAAAAGTATATGCAACTGTGTCAAACTGTATCGTTTGGAAGGAGAAATGGTCGTTACAGTGTAGACGAGTGTTTTCCATATTAAAATATGGATCAACAAACCAGACACGAATCATAAACAATTCATCATTTATTGAATAAACTTGCAAAAGGAGTCAAATATTCAACGTCACATTCATAAGAAAAACTGAAGGACCATACCTCTCTTTAACTGTCCCACAGAACCTATAATAATCAGGAAAGCCTTGCAATCTTGCAGATTCACGTACAGTGAGAATTCGGTCCTGCTCCGGATGTAATACTACCTGCAGAAGGTTATAGGGTTACCCCAATATTCAAAAGATGAAATGCCATAAAGAACTAGACTAGAGAGGATGGTTAAACCTGGTTGTGACAACTTGGGAAAGTAAGCACAGTGGGCACTGTCTCATCCCACCATAACCTCGCAAACGGTCTAAAAATATAATTAAATTTTTAAAAAAATAAGAAAAATATGAGGAAATAGAATAGCAGTAAATGGTAAAACACATTAGAAGGCTAACAAAAAAAAAAAGAACCTTTTCGATTTGCCTTGTTCATAAGTAAAGCAATAGTCTGGTACCTGGAAGGAAAAAACACTGGTTACACACTAGCCAATTTTCATTTTACTTATTCACATTAACATTGAAAAAAATACATCAGTTTCAATAGCACTCTTTATTTCAACCTACAGAGGTTCCTGTGAGCAGTTTTGTGTCCTTTCAGTTCCATTCAGCCCTTTAAGATGACCTAAATTCTCACTATACATACTTTCGTACATAGCTAAATTATTTTGTTTCTTATTAACATCTAAGTAACAAAACTTAGAGTATCAACACTCACTAATGGCCTTCCAGATGGCAACAGAGAATGCTTTTCAGTTGACTCTCTCCGAGCCACATTGTCACTTCCAACAACAACACCAGGTAGATCCCGGAAATTTGCTCCCTGAAAATAGCTATAAGTTAGAAACAACAGATGGTAACAAAGTTAACAAAATTTGAAAGACAAATAAACGTGAAGTTAAACTTATCCATGCTATATAGAGTGTGTGTGTGTGTGTGTGTGTGTGTGTGTGTGTATCCAACCTTTCTTTTTGGAATCTGACAAACTCGTAAGTAATCATCTTCGTTTAAGTGGTAAGTCCGATGGTCATATAGTGAAACTGTTGCTTTCGTAGTGCCATCAAACGCAGATCCCATCATCTCTACACAACCAGCGTAAATGAAAGTTAAAATGGAAATCATTTAAATAAGTGTAGATGGACGTAGAACAGATCATATGAATGGCCTGCCACCCAAACCAAAATAACAAAAACAACAAACAATTACAGGTAGCCCTGGCATAATGAAAATACAAAAAATTCAATGTTGCTAGTAAGTATGATTTATCAGTTATATTTGCAATTCTACTATACAAAAGTTTCTATATGTTAAACACAGATGTCAAGCATTTAACATCATTATTTTTCAAATGTGGATATGTAGGGGCAAAGGATAAGAACACACTTTCTCATTTGAAATACTTGGAATTTAGCACATATCATGACAGAGGAGCTAAGCCACATCAACCTTAGAAGTTTACCAAGAGCATACTAACGGGGGCTCTAAGGGCCAAGAACAAATTTGGTATATGCTGATGATGTTAAACATTAACTGTATACAACAAGTTCTGAAAATAGTGATATTACCATGCTGTGTTGACCTTATATATCTTTGGAAATCTGTTTCAGGAGGCTTTTGGAATGGCATTTCTTCTCTTTTTTCATTGTTTGAGACCTATAAATTTAAACACAATTAGAATTTTGTTGAATTGTAAGAGAAGAGCTAAGCTTCAAATACGATGAACTTACAGAAGGAAGATCCGAGATGGCATCGCGAAGAACAAGAGCTTTTTCTAATAATTCACGAGGTTGTTCTTCATCATAAGCAACAGTGTTCCGCTGCACATGAAGGCAAACAATTTAATTAGTAAAGAAAAATAGAACTGAAAGTTTAAGGTTTGCTTAGAAGTACCTCAAACTCTGGTGGAGGCCAGTATCTCACTATGACATCATGTGTTGGAAGAGGAAACTGTGGCAGATTCTGTGAAGATAAAAAAGAGGGGAAAATACGTCAGGCTCTTTTGGCCTTCCAAAAATGAATGAATGCATTATTAATCGGTAACGCGAGAATTTGAGTGAGCTTGAATTATGTTTCATAAGTCTAGTTATGGATTTTATGCATGGGGCATGCCTTTTAGCTTTGTCTGTGCATGTATATGTGTGTGACTCAGATATGCTAAAGATATATTTTCTGTTTCTTATTCTTTTTCTAATGTTTGACGATGAAAACAGTTATATGGCCCATATACGTATTGAAAAGAAACGTAATAACCATACTTTTATTTTGGGAAACCTAAACTGAATAGTAACCAACAAGTATCTAGCTATCACATAAAAGAAATTTCAGGTCAGATTCATGGAATGCTCATTGTATTTTTCGTGTTACTCTCGATCATTTATTAAAACAATGAAACAAAAAGAGATCACCTCACAAGCATGAGCACCCCACAAGAAAACACGCAACCGAAATTGTGGAAGGCCATAACAACCGGCAGCAAGTATTCCCAGCCTCGCTTGGTACTTCATATGCACCAAACGACTAAGTGCATATCTTCCAAGAGAAGCTTTGTCAAATCTCAAAATGTCAACAACATTTTCCATCAGCACAAACTTTGGCTTCAAGAAGTTTACAATATCCATGAAGACTACAATTTGATGATTCCTCTCATCATCCAATGGAGAATCAACGTTTCTATAGCGATTATAGCCGCTAATTCCTTGGCAAGGAGGGCCCCCGCAAATTACATCAACATCTCCCTGAAATTGTACATATCTATTTAGGATTCGGATAGCGAAACACAAGATCAGTATATATGATACTACTTTAGCTTGTTCAATCAGTTACTACTTACTGGAAGTGGCAAAATTTTCACTTTCCTCCCATTTCTTACAAAATCCTGTATACTTTCTTGGCAGTTACTGAGAAGATAAAAAAATAAAAAATAAAATTAGTGCTGATGCGGAAAGTCATATTCATAATCATATCATAAGAAGTGGTATACCTTAAGCCTTCAATTGGTTCCCATGTATCTTCACTGCTACCATAACCTTTCCAATGCACCTAGAAAAACAATACGATTAAATATTTATTATGATAAATAATTTTGTAGAAAAATGAGATAATGTTAAGAGTGAATGAGGAATTCACAGTCGAATTGCATGGAGCAAAAATAACAGTAACAACTATGAAAAAAGACTAAAAACCTAACAATGGAAAACGTCACTTTACAAAAAAGTATCTTAGGTTAATAGTTGATATTGAAGACTCCCTAAAATCTGCAGTTACCAATGCCAAGAAAGCTGACCAAAACCTAAGTCAATCCTACAGTTCATCCTGCTGACTTGTGTACATTTAATTGTAAAGATTAGCTGCTGAGTAATTGTACAGACATTTACAAGAATTTTAAAATTATAGACACGACTTTTGCCAATTCCCAAAACCTCGCAATGCAAAATTATGGACGTGAGTTTTGTGAATTCCGAAAACCAGCAACTCCTAAACTAAAAGCGGATTTAACACTACAATCCTCTGTACCTAATGTAAGAAATCATATAAGGTTTTCCAACCCAACTCATGCATTGATTGCCTTACATGGTAACACACAAGTTTTCTAAGTAGCGGTAACAGAACAGTAGCTAAACCACTTTGTTTTATGCTTCAGGAATTTCAATAATAACCAGAGGACATGATGTTACGCATGTGTGCACAAAATCTTTTGCATCCCTCAATGACATTGCAGATATTGTCATCAGACATCTTAGAAGCATTTTTGTTTTACCTTAAGGTTCACTCCACGCTTGCCTGTCTTATTAGGATCACCAAAGCAGATATCAACAATCCTCGAAACTTCATATTCACCGGTACCAACCTCATTACCATTCTTTGGTACACTTAAGGTCTTCGATCTTAATGGATGAGTTCTTTCGACATCATTGGCCTTATGCCTTCTGCATAACTTTTCCCATTCCTTCAACAGTTGTAGAAAATCCTCAGCAGTTTCATTCCTGACCTACAAAAAGAAGCATAGAATTATTCTGTAATGTCATTGAAGGGTAAATTGGCTATTACCTAGAAACGGATAAGATATCTCACTTGCGTTTCTGGATGATTTAACTTCAAGCTTTCACAGGCAGATTTATCACTGTCAAGGGCCCATTTCTACAAAAAAAAAAAAAAAAAAGTAAGATTAGCTATTCATGACAACATGTTTAAAGGATACAGAATCCAAATACAAATTATAAAAATATTTATATAGTTGAATACCGTGACAAGATTAACACAGGAAAGTTTAGCACCAAAGCACAATCCAGTTGACATTCCACCACAACCACAAAAAAGATCTAAGAGGGCTAATTCTGCTTTGTAAGTTTCAGAGCTGGGCATATTCTCCAGTAAGTTTGAAGTTGACAGTGTACCAACTGCTTGGATTGAATTGCATGATGGCATGTTGTGGCTCTTCACAGAATTATCTGAAGTAAAAATAGACAACGCTGAACTGTCAAATCTTGGGAATTGACGTTTCAGTATAAAGTTTAATTTCTTTGTCTACATTTTGTCCCTTTGGGTAGATCTTGGAGGGCCAATTAGTAGAAATACAAACAAAACGTTTTCTATATAGGTAATACAAGGATTACCAGACTATTTCCGTATCCCATTAGATATAGTTTCTTTAATAAGTCATTCAAGATTGTTTATTAAATTTTATAATAAGTGATGAATGAATTTTAATACAAACGTCCAAAATTACAATAGAGGTGACCAATCCCCAAAATTCTTTTTGATTGACACCATCCGTATGACCAAAAAACTTCCAGCACACTGAAGCCCAAGGAGTTCTACCACATACATAGCAACTACAACAACAACAACAACAACAACAAAGCCTTTTCCCACTAAGTGGGGTCGGCTATATGAATCCTAGAACGCCATTGCGCTCGGTTTTGTGTCATGTCCTCCGTTAGATCCAAGTACTCAAGTCTTTTCTTAGGGTCTCTTCCAAAGTTTTCCTAGGTCTTCCTCTACCCCTTCGGCCCTAAACCTCTGTCCCGTAGTCATATTTTCGAACCGGAGCGTCAGTAGGCCTTCTTTGCACATGTCCAAACCACCGGAACCGATTTTCTCTCATATTTCCTTCAATTTTGGCTACTCCTACTTTACCTTGGATATCCTCATTCCCAATCTTATCCTTTCTCGTGTGCCCATACATCCCACGAAGCATCCTCATCCCCGCTACACCCATTTTGTGTACGTGTTGATGCTTCACCGTCCAACATTCTGTGCCATACAACATCGCTGGCCTTATTGCCGTCCTATAAAATTTTCCCTTGAGCTTCAATGGCCTACGATGGTCACACAACACGCTAGATGCACTCTTACACTTCATCCATCCAGCTTGTATTCTATGGTTGAGATCTCCATCTAATTCTCCGTTCTCTTGCAAGATAGATCCTAGGTAGCGAAAACGGTCACTTTTTGTGATCTTCGCTAGATTGCTCCGGTCATTAGTGTGGATAAGTATATAAATGGATAGAGATAGGAAAGCAAACACAAGATGTATGTGGTTCACCCAGATTGGCTACGTCCACGGAATAGAGAAGTTCTCATTAATTGTGAAGGGTTTACACAAGTACATAGGTTCAAGCTCTCCTTTAGTGAGTACAAGTGAATGATTTAGTACAAATGACATTAGGAAATATTGTGGGAGAATGATCTCGTAACCACGAAACTTCTAAGTACCGGAGTGTGGTATCGTCTTGACTTGCCTTATCTGTCTCATAGGTAGATGTGGCATCTTTTCTGGAAGTACTCTTCCTCCATCCAGGGGTGGTATCTGTAACTGGTGGAGATGCACAAGGTAATGTATCTATTTCACTTGAAGCTTACTTGTAGTTTCAGGCTTGGTCAAGCGCGATACAAACCATGTAGTAGGAGTCCCCCAAGTCGCCGAGCTAGGGGATCTGCTGAAAGAGGTGACAGACAAGGTAAGCAATCAGAGCTCCGGCTGATTGTTCACATTCTCCCTATCTTGCAGGCAGCATGAAGGATAAAGAGAAGAAAAATGAGAAGAGATGATATGGGATACTTTTGCTTTTGAAGAAGTAACTTTCTACAGGCTTATTCTTGAACTGGGCTGGAGGGTTTTCTGGTTTCCTCCATAGTATAAGGCCGACTAAAGAATTTGAGGGTCAAAACAAGTCCATCAAATCTAGAGTACGTTCGACCTTGCTGATATGGGATACTTTTACTTTTGACAGAGTAGTGGATGTATCGGCACGTGTGCTGTTACGCTTGTCTCCACATGCTTCCTTGTATCCTTCTCACTTGCCCTATCTGTTCCTCAGGCAGATGCGGTATCTTCCCTGGAAGCATAAGATGTTGAAGATGAGTACTCGAGAGCAATGCCAGGTAAGTAATCAGGTAAGGGGTTCCAGGCAGTCAGTTCCTGGCTGGAAGCTTGATTCCAAGTGCTGACTGATTGCTCTCTTTCTCCTTGTCTTGCAGGTAAGAACAAGGCCAAAGGAAAAGACAGGGAAAAAGCATGATATGGGATACTCTTGCTTTTAACCCTGATGATATGAGATATTCTTGCTCTAGTATAGCTTGTTTATTGAGGTATTATCGGGGGGAAAGAAAGCTGAATATTTCGAAAGGCTTCGTTGGAAGTGCCCTCTCAGATAAGAGGAAGGGTTGAGCATTTTTGCAGGTCTGCCTATCCGTTGGGGATGGAGGTCGACATATATAAGAGTCTCCCTAACATCAAGTAATAATGTTATTCCTTTACCCTGCTTGGTCATAGCACGGTAGTGGGAGCTGCCAGCTTCACATGTTTTAACTCTGTCAGAGCACTTTGAAAAAGTGGTCTGTGGTATCTGGAAAGCTGATGTTGCGTGTGAAGATTACAGACAAGCTTTATCCAAGGAGATCCAGCTCTTGAAGTTGGGAAAGTGGTGCCTCTTTGGTTTTCGAACAAGCAATCCTGTCGGGGATCTGGCTCTCGAGATTCGGAGAACGATGCCTCTTCGATTTTTGAGAAAGCAATCCTGCTGGGGGTCTGGCTCTCGAGATTCGGAGAGCGGAGTCTCTTCGATTTTTGAGAAAGTAATCACGTTGGGAGTCTGGCTCTCGAGATTCGGAGAGCGGTGCCTCTTCGATTTTGGAGCAAGCAATCTTGTTGGGAGTGTTTTCTCGAATGTGAGTAAAGGTTGGGCATGTTTGCTAGTCTACCTTGCCACGAAGCACAGAGGTTGACACACAGGGACTTTCCAATTATCCAGCAGTGGTACTGTTCCTTTACCCTCTCTTCGATTTTTGAGAAAGTAATCATGTTGGGAGTCTGGCTCTCGAGATTCGGAGGGCGTGCCTCTTCGATTTTGGAGCAAGCAATCTTGTTGGGAGTGTTTTCTCGAATGTGAGTAAAGGTTGGGCATGTTTGCTAGTCTACCTTGCCACGAAGCACAGAGGTTGACACACAGGGACTTTCCAATTATCCAGCAGTGGTACTGTTCCTTTACCCTCTCTTCGATTTTTGAGAAAGTAATCATATTGGGAGTCTGGCTCTCGAGATTCGGAGGGCGATGCCTCTTCGATTTTGGAGCAAGCAATCTTGTTGGGAGTGTTTTCTCGAATGTGAGTAAAGGTTGGGCATGTTTGCTAGTCTACCTTACCACAAAGCACAGAGGTTGACACACCGGGACTTTCCAATTATCCAGCAGTGGTACTGTTCCTTTACCCTTGTGGGTAATAATATGGTAGCTAGACCTTCAAAATTTATGTGTCTAAACTTTGTTAGTGTTGTTTCTTTCCTATTCTTTTACCCTTCTTGGTCAGAGCGATGTAGTAGGAGCTGCAAGCTTCACGTGTCTCAACTTTGTCAGAGAACTTTGGCAAAGTTATCTGTGGTACCCATGAGCTACTGTTGCGTGTGGGAAGTGGGTGATTGAACAGTACGATTCATGTGCTTTCTACTTCGCCAGAAATGTTCGACAGAATGCCCATAATTTCCGCAAAGCTGAGTGTGCGTGTGACAGGTGCTGACAAGGCTGGAAGAGTAGGTGCCTCTTCAATTTCTGAGATCGGCCCTCGTGGTCTCTGAGCAGCCCAGCTTTTGAGAAAGCAAGCCTCTTCGATTTCTGAGATCGGCCTTCGTGGTCTTTGAGCAGCCCAGCTTTTGAGAAAGCAAACGCCTCTTCGATTTCTGAGATCGACCCTCGTGGTCTTTGAGCAGCCCAGCTTTTGAGAAAGCAAACGCCTCTTCGATTTTTGAGCAGGCGCCTCTTCGATTTCTGAAGCTTCGTCGAGTGCAGATTTTTATAGGGGCTGACATTAAGCTCCAAAGCACACTTGAATATCCACCCGTAGAAGCTCCATTCTTGCACTTCTAAGATCTTGATTTGTCCGACCTCTTCTCTCTTCAACACCTTTGAAAATGTCTGGCCCCTCCGACCGTCGTTTTGACTTGAACCTTGTTGAAGAGGCAGCCCCGCCTTCTCCAGACAACATATGGCGCCCATCCTTCGTCTCCCCTACTGGTCCTCTTACCGTTGGGGATTCCGTGATGAAGAATGATATGACCGCTGCAGGTAGTGGCCAGGAACCTTCTCACTCCCAAAGATAACAGACTACTTTCCAAACGGTCTGATGAGTTGGCTGTTAAGGATTCTCTGGCTCTCAGTGTTCAGTGTGCAGGTTCTGTGTGTCTAATATGGCCCAACGCCTATTTGCTCGAACCCGCCAAGTTGAATCATTGGCGGCTGAAGTGATGAGTCTCAAACAGGAGATTAGAGGGCTCAAGCATGAGAATAAACAGTTGCACCAGGCTCGCACATGACTATGCTACAAACATGAAGAGGAAGCTTGACCAGATGAAGGAATCTGATGGTCAGGTTTTACTTGATCATCAGAGATTTGTGGGTTTGTTCCAAAGGCATTTATTGCCTTCGTCTTCTGGGGTTGTACCGCGTAATGAAGCTCCAAATGATCAACCTCTGATGCCTCCTCCTTCTAGGGTTCTGTCCAGTACTGAGGCTCCGAATGATCCCCCTCCGGTGCCTTCTCTTTCTGGGGCTCTACCGACTGCTGAGACTTCTCCTAAGCAACCTTTGTGAAGGCTCCCTCTTGTTTGTTTATTTTGACTCAAGTATATGTACATATTTGTAACTTATCGGGGATATCAATAAATAAGCTTTCCTTCATTTCAACGTATTGTGTTAAATACACCAAAGCCTTCTTCGCTAAGTTCTTTGAATTTTCTTTTGTTGAAGCTTGTATGTTGAAGCTTTCTGAGTGGAGCATGTAGGTTGAGGTAGTGTTCCCTTAATTTCCCGAGTGAGGAAAACTTCTCGGTTGGAGACTTGGAAAATCCAAGTCACTGAGTGGGATCGGCTATATGAATCTTAGAACGCCATTGTGTTCTGTCCTGTGTCATGTCCTCCGTTAGATCCAAGTACTCTAAGTCTTTTCTTAGGGTCTCTTCCAAAGTTTTCCTAGGTCTTCCTCTACCCCTTCGGCCCTGAACCTCTGTCCCATAGTCGCATCTTCTAATCGGAGAGTCAGTAGGCCTTCTTTGCACATGTCCAAACCACCGTAACCGATTTTCTCTCATCTTTCCTTCAATTTCGGCTACTCCTACTTTACCCCGGATATCCTCATTCCTAATCTTATCCTTTCTCGTGTGCCCACACATCCAACGAAGCATCCTCATCTCCACTACACCCATTTTGTGTACGTGTTGATGCTTCACCGCCCAACATTCTGTGCCATACAGCATCGCCAGCCTTATTGCCGTCCTATAAAATTTTCCCTTGAGCTTCAGTGGCATACGGCGGTCGCACAACACGCCGGATGCACTCTTCCACTTCATCCATCCAGCTTGTATTCTATGGTTGAGATCTCCATCTAATTCTCCGTTCTTTGGGAATCACCCAACTTGCATGAGCTGTAACGTAAAGGGAGAATGAAGAGAAACGCGATCTGCACTTTCTTCACCAGCCTCAGAAAGAATGCAGCACTGAGGGCTAACTTTCTCTTTACCCAATAAACATAAAAGAATTTGTATCTTAGGAGACTTTTTCCTTCCAAATCTGACCAATAGGTTAAAGCATGACAATGCACATTCATTGCATTAAAAAAAGCATGTACATGTTTCTAAAACTTTCTAATTAGTAGTTGCCCTACCCCCTCCCTCATTTTTTTGAGCGGTATAATCCAATCTTATGGTACACCACACCAAACATTGCATGGTATTGAAAGTATCATATCTAGTCTATTCCAACTATTGAGCAAAGCCAATCTAACCAAATCATGCGCAAAAAAATAGAACCAAACAAATAAACCTATCATTGTCACAGTATGATCCACTAACCAGAGATGAAGGAGCGAAATGTGGAATAGTCCACACAGTATTCCATATCATAGTAGAAGTCAGACGGCGAAATGGAGTTCACTTTTAACCCTACCTGAAAAAGTCAAAAGATTAGTACTTCACTAGTATAATATACAGCACGTGTTTGGCAAAATGGCAAGATACAAGAAATCATTAACAGAAGTCAATTTTTAAACAGTAGAAATAATACCTTAGGGGATATATGTGTAACATTGACTTTTGAAATAATGCAATCTATCAAATTATCGTTCATTACGGTAGAATAGAATAAACGCCTCTTGTCATGAGAAGTTCCTACTTCTTTAATAACCTGAGAAACAAATAGAAAAACCAAAGAATGGTTAGTGGGATATACCTACCATGGGTCCGTACTCAACAATTTCACAAACTCACCGTATCTTCAACTTTATAAAACCACTGGACTCTAAAATATTTTTCTCCATCAGCTGTCTTGAAAAATTCTATGATCCTTCCCACATGCTTTTGTCCTTCATCACCCTGTAAAAATTACCTTAACATTTATTTCAAATGCTCGTCGGAATGCAACTAAAACTACATAATACTATGCATGAGCTCTCCAGGATAGGTCCAAACAAACTATAAGTCTGCAACTAACACTACTCTGAAGAGTTAAGGTCGTATTTGATGTTTTCCATACATCATACATCCAACAAATTTTCCAAAATAAGACTATGTATCAATATTCAACACACCTATAACTACAGATTAAGAAGGCATCTACGCAAGTAGAGCATGTGGAAGCAATCTGTAATCGCTTAAAAAAAACCCATGATCAGTAGGGCAAAAAGAGAAAGTACCTCTATGTAAGCACAATCTCCAAGATCGAAGATGCAATCGCCAATTTTAGCTTGAGAAAAGTGACATTCAACGTCCAAAATTATCTCATCTTCTTCATCTTCACTACAACCATGTATAAATGAGAAAATAAAAGGCATAACCACAATAGATGAAAAAGGATCAGCTTCTCGCTACTCGGGAGCACAATGCCTAAGTTCTTAACTAGTGAGGGGGTCCAATAACATGTTCTGTGTAAAACTGTGAGCAAACATGTTTTATTTTCCTTAAAAGGAATCAAAATATCTTTTATAAGACACATACTTCCTTTGTTACCATTTTCTCTTGTGAACTGTCAACATGTCATTGCTCCTTTTTCATCACTACTTACCCAGTACAAAAACAAGAACAACTAATCACATCCCATATGGTGTGGGATAATACATAGCAATGAAGTCAAAACCCCCTTACAGGGAGAGCAACGTACATAAAATGGGGTTCACCGAGACCATGGCGTCCCGCCAATAGTCATTGACATGTGGAGAGAAGACAATGAGTTATTGGACCAGGACACTACGTGGCGGTGAACCCATTCCATGTAAGTCATTCTCCCTCCTGCACTAGGAAGTGACATACCATGCCTATCCCTCTTTCCAACAAAAAATATTCCCTGCCTGCACATTCTTTTCCATCCAGGTCATGAGTGAATCTATTTTCCAATTCAAAAGAAGAGGCATCTTTCACTCCACATTCATTTCCATCCAGGCCGTGGGTGAATCTAGTGCTTTGAGAACATATGTGATAAGATTAAGAATAAAAATTCTGTGCTCACAAGAGAAGTAGATGTGTTGATCCAAGAGATGCAACATGTAGTTAGCAAGACAAAAGAGAACAGTGGGAGTAAGTCTATGACAAAAGACATTTTCTACTTTTAAAAAAAACAATGTTTGGTAACAAGGTTATATGAACATATGCCACTACATGTTTCTACCACCTCACCAGTCAAGACAATGTGCTCTGTCCATGAAGCTCTGAAGAAAACTATAACCAAACCCTCAAAGAGATAATTTATGAACTATTTATTACTCACTTTAGCTTCAAGCTTTGTCTTTTAGATCTTTGACTCTGCAAAACTCCAACACAGGCACAACCAGAACTAAATTACACAGGCACAACCAGAACTAAATCATATTAAACACAATACTGTTGTGGTGTTTAACTAAAAACTCAAGAAACCCTACAACAGAGTTTAATCTATTCAAATCACCAGATGGCTTCACAAATACAAGTTAAATAGTCAAGAGCAAAAAATTATTCTACCAACATAAAATGAAATAAAATTGCATGGATAGACATTAATACACGTGCACTCATTTATATACATATAAAGTGCACTTATTTATATACATGTTTTTCATGGATATCATGTATTTATGTACATGCTTATAAAATCTGAATATAAGTGCAGATGAGGCCTTCACTACAAGAAGTTGAGTGGCTAAATATGCATCTTTTACTGCTTTAGTTTCCCACCGACAATAAGAGAAAAACTTATGGAGAACTTTTTATGCTGTGTCAACTTTAATCATTTTAAATTAGAGTTTTTTTTTTAGAAGGTGTTAGAATATGAAAACAAATAGTTTACACCATGTCAGGCTTTGATCCAGCTGAGGCTATTTGGGAAGCAACTGTTCGGATTATGGTGAAGATTAGAGGGGGAATAATGTGATCTGCTACAGAAAGAACTGATGACTTCCTCCTAGCTAGTGCATCGTGGGTAAGATAAAAGGGGAAAGTGTAGATCTCTTGTTGAGAGAGCAAAAAATGGCACACCAGTCCATCGTGAATTTTTATTCAAGTTTGTGGAGTTCTTGAACTTGAATTATATCTATTTTTTATTATTAAGCATTAATGATGATATTCTTGTTGAATTATATTTGTTTTAGTTCATTTTTAAGCATGAATGACATTTTTATGGTATGCCTCATAAGTCTTAAAAGGCTTATGCCACACATAGAGGTTAATTATCATGGTATGCCTCATAAATCTTAAAAGGCTTACGCCACACATAGCGGTACTTCCAACACTTCCCCTTATGCCTCAACAATTTCAAGCTTTGATATGTATAATGTGCTCTGATTGCATAGTGAAGTTCAAGTAAGAGTCTGAACTTAGAGAAGAAAAACGACATGCAAATGAATAAATCGTTAAGTTGATTTATTACCTTCATTCGATACCGCCAACCCCATCTTTCTTGAGCTTCAACATCAGGAATTGGATCTCCAATGAAAGAAGCACTTTTGATGTTCTCTTGTTTGTTTTGCTTGTTCTTTGATGAATCTAAGGTTTTCCTTTTCTTTGGTGTTTGTTTCACATAGGTCTCGGGCAATTCAATCAAAGCACATTCTGATTCTCTTCTTTCAGCCTCAAACATCGATCTGGTTCTTCTTTGGGATTGCCCCAAGTGTGTCTCGTCAAAAATTTTTGAATCAGATTTTCCTAATGAGATCAATATCTTCTTGGAAGAAAACCCATCTTCCGAATCAGACAATCCAATGAAACTAGAATTTAGATTGGAAGTTTCCTTAGCCACGTCCAAACAAGGGGAAAACTTAGGAGATCTTCTTATGTGCTTTTCATCCAACTTTTCACCATCAAAATTGTCTTCAGGAGCTGACATTAACCTTGAAGACCTCCTCAAGGGTGTAGGTCTCTTATCACTCTCTCCGTGCCATGAAAGAGATGGATGCTTGACTTCTGTGTCTCTTGATGATGTTTCGACATTAGAAGTATTTAATGACAGGGCCTTGGGGCAGCCTTCTTCAGGGGATTCGAATTTTCTTAGAGATCTCTCTTGCGAAGAAACTTTCAGACAGCAGCTTTCCACTGCAGACTGATTCATCAACCTTAGAGATCTCCTCATAGACTTCTCTGCTAAGCTTTCTACACTTGATACTGTATATTTCTGTTCATCATCACTGCAACAAGCAAACATGCAGAAGTCAAGAAAATTGACGTATGAATCATATGATGAATGTGAATGCCCCACAGCTAAAATGTTTGAAAATTTAGGACTCACTTTGATCCGATGGTTCCACCCTTGTACCTTTTATGCTGCATAAGCCAATAATCCATTCTTGAAATTAGAATGTGTAAACTGATGTAAATGGTTAACGAGACATAAGACAACTGACATAGCAAATACAATTATGACATATTGGGAACCATCACCAAAAAATGAAACAAACAAACAAGAGCTTCATGGGAAATGTTAAACTATCATGAGGAAGACGAAGGTGTCAAGATTTCAGAGAGATGGCAATCAGACCACAACATTTTCATAGGGACAGGGAGGCCTCAAAATTGCCTACCATGAAATATTATTAGCTTGCTCATAAAATTATTCTATTTTTCTTTCTGAACTAAAATTTTGAACAATAAGTGTTTGGGCGTGTTCAAAAAGGTTTGCAATGTATTAAATCATATGTCAAGATTGTGTAAGATGTGGAAAGGGAACATCACGAAAATGTTACAACTCTTGCCAAATTTATGGTTGCTATACATAGGAAGGAGACCTAACTTCAAACAAGGTTTATGCTTAATGAATTTGACCGTTTTGATTCTGGAGTATAATGCCGCAATGTTGTATTTGTGTTAGCATTAACAGGCCAAGTACAGTTAATCGTATTTTTCCAGGCGGTTCAAGGATCACACAGTATTTAAATGTGTATGAGAATCATTTGACTTCTTAACTTTCCCGGCGTTTACTAACACATGAAATTGGAAAGGCGTGAGCTTCCCCTTGAAATTCATAATCAAATACCTAAAAATCAGGAATCATATCAACTAAGGGGGACTAGTTTATCTGATTCCCTTTCCCAAATTCTCTGTTTCTTTATGTGGCCTTTCTCCAATGAGGCCCCTCATGTTTCATAAAAACGGAACTCATGGCTGTCAATCACTTTTAACATTTTTTTTTTTTTGAACAAACAATGTTATCTACACTAAAAGAGAGGGGGTGGGCTTAGCCTCACAATGAGCTAGCAATAATGTGGTTAAAATTCACCTTTGGCCAAAATTAAACCTAAAACCTCTTAGTTACAAGTGAACAGCAATATCACTAGACCGTAGTAAGTGGCTTAACAAAAATTACTTTTTTTTACTAATAGTGACATTTATTTTTAAAAAAAAAAACCCCCATCTTTGTATTTTTATTTTTACTATTATTGGGGACAAGGATGAGAGTTCGAAACTATTAAAATAAGTTAGGGAGGGTTTCGAATTAAAGACATATGGGTAGAAACTCAACACTCTATCCTCTAGGATATTTGACCACATGAACACAAAAAACCTATCTATTTACCTCATAAGTCAAATAAAAATTACTGACTGAAATGCAAAACAAAGACTAGATACATAAAACATCTGAACCAAAAAAATATTCTTTTATTTGTAATATTTTTTAATTTTTGTTCTGTATTAAATCAAAGTATTATTTTAGATGTAAATTAATAATTCTAATAGGGATTTTCTAACAAATAAAGATAAAAACTGTGGAATACGTTCGTGAAGAAATTACTTCTAATTACTTTTAAAAGCTTAAAAGGGTACAAATGTCACTTCAACTAAAGTGGGTCCGAATGGTTGAAAGTCTCTGGCGCCAATAAGCGTTCGGGTTTAATAAATGAAAGATGAAACAAGCATCTAATCCCTTTTGGACAAAAGTCAAACTCACCATCCGCACGATTCTTAAGATTCAATGATCCGACGGATGAGAAGCATCTGATTAATACACAATTTCTCAAGAAAAAAGAAAAAGAAACATAAAAGTATTTAATTTCAACGAGAAAAACTATAAAAATATGCAAATAATATGAAATTTAAGGATTAAAAAAATTAAAAAATACTTAAAAGAATTATTAATTAAGAATTAAAAGAAAATTAAAGATAGTAAACGGTGAGTAATGACGCAAGCACCTGAACTGATGGAGTCTTAATCTTGCTGCTCTCAGCTTCTTCCAGGACGGATGACGTAAATCTGGGAGACCTTCTCACACTCGCACGCTTGGCGTCGTCGATCTTCCTGGAAGCTGCATTTGCCGAAGTATCCTTGACGACCTCCTCCTTCTGCGCCGGCGGCAACGGCGACAGTCTCGGCGACCTTCTCACGCACTCGGGCCGCCGCTGCTGAATCTTGCGCCGTAGTCGTGGGTCGTCGTGGTCGTGCGAGTTCAGTGGCACTGCTTCCTCCTCACAAGCCACATTTTCCACGAGCACCGACAATGCCATCGGTTCCGATTCGGATTTCGATTCCGATTTGGAATCGGAGTTGGGTTTTGGTGGCGCCCACATTTTATTTCTTTTTTTTGGGGGGGGGGGGGTGGGATGGGGGATTTTGGGCAAATGGTGAAATAAATGGAAATTATTGAAACGCAAAGAAGGAAACGGTGGGAAGCAGTTTCGTTCTTCCGATGACTCCAAAGAAGAGAGGCTGGGCAAAAATATATGTCCTCTTTCTCGCATGACACATCTCACGAGGCAATGGAGGCGCACGAATAAATAGTGGTATACCCACTCATATTTTACAAAATAAATTAGAGTAACCTCAACTATTGATATTAAGACACTTTCATATCTTATCTTTTAAAATTGACAATGTCATATCTCATCTTACGAATTTGTATCAATGTTAGACATCCGTCCGTTTTCTGTTAATTTCTCTGTTAAATGCTGACGTTGTCCGACACGTGTCCACTCACTAATCAAATTGGATTAAAAAATAATTAAATATATTTTTAATAATTAAATATTCAAAAATTAAAAAATATATATATATATATTAAATCTCTCTCTCCCCTTTCTCGCCTCTCTCTTCTCTGCAACCCAAAACCCCTTCCCACCCGTCCTTCACCACCCTCTCTCTCTCCTCTCTCTCCCCCCCCCTTTCTCGGCTCTCTCTCTTCTCTGCATCCCAGAAGACCCAGACCTCGGAGGAACAAAACCCACCTTCCCATTGCAGCAATTGTTGCCGCAATTCGAAAACCCCAAAACGAAGAACCCAATATTTCTCGACTACTCCGCCACCCTCAATCTGGAGATCGCAATGACGTCATTCCACGGCATCATCTTCCTCGACTACTTCGCCTCCCTCACTCTACCACCCTCGATCTGCACCTGGACACCCAAAACGATGGCGTCGACCTGAAGTCGGACTGGGAACCGGTCTGATTTGTGACGAAGTCCGAGTCTGTGGGGTAGTGGGGGGGGACGCGGGTCAATAGGCAAGAGTTTGGGGGGACGGGTCAATAGGCAAGAGTTTGGCGGATGAAAAAACCCAGGTGGGTTTAGGCGGTTCTAGGCACGAAGAGTGAGAGAAGTGGGGAGGAAGGAACTACGATGGAGAGGAGAAGGAGAGGCAAAAGAGAGGGTGGTGGAGGACGGGTGAGAAGGGGTCGGGTGGGAAGGGGTTTTGGGTCTTTTGAGATGCAAAGAAGAGAGAGAGGCAAGAAAGGGGGGGGGAGAAAGAGGAGATAGAAAGAGAAAGAGAGAGAGAGAGAGATTTAATATATATATATATATATATATATTTTTATTATTATTTAATTATTTTTTTAATCCAGTTGAATTAGTGAGTGGGACACGTGTCGGCCCACGTCAGCATTTAATAGAGAAATTAACAGAAAAACTGACGGATGTCTGACATTGGCACAAATTCGTAAGATGAGGTATGACATTGTCAATTTTAAAAGATGAGGTATGAAAATGTCGTGACACCAATAGTTGAGATAGTTTTTTGTACTTTACCCAACAAATTATTTGTATTTTGAGGATTTTGCACGAACTCGATTGAAATCTATCACTTAAGTTATTTTTTATTTATTTTTTCATAAAAACATGCATGTGACTCACGTGGAGAGTTATTTTTGTCAATTCACTGCCTAGGGCTCTTTAGAATCAATTTATGTGAAAGCAAAAGGAATTTTTAATAGCGTTAGAGTAAGGTCATGAAGAGCAAGGGAAAAGTTGATTTTTAATTAGATTTTGGCAAGGGTTGTTGAAGAATTGAAGTGAAAATTATGCTAAAATCTAGTCCTTCATTTACAATAAATTTCAATTTTTTTTTTTTTGTAAGTCAGCAAGTGGGTATGTGATTAAGGTATTATTCAAATATTAAGTTTTCATACTCTGATGTAGGGAATTGCCGGATTGGGGCTGTACAAACCCCAAATTTGGAGCTATATTGACTGAGGCAGTATTACTTTGCAGTCAATTTGATTCTAGTCAGCCCCATTAAGTGAATTGATGAAAATATCCCTACATGTGACATGTTTTAATGGCAAAATGGATGAAAAGTAACGTAAGTGATAGATTCTAACTTAAGACGGTCTAGTTGGAAAAATTAAAAATTTAGTGGCAATATTGCATATGCTTACAAGGTCAGGTGGTACTTGTGCAAAAAATCTTTGTATTTTTAATATTTAATATTAATTAGACCCGTAAACGGTATGGCTGCTACCATACCTGACCCGTTTAACTATCGTAGACAATGTGCCAATTTCACCACACCCCTTAGATCTTCAGATGGGTAGATGAACATAGAAAGAGAGAGACCAATAATTACCTCAATCATCCTTGGTCATGGCTACAAGCAACCCCTCATCGCCACAGCCGCCACCGCCATCGGTTCCATCTTCTGCCTTCCAGCCAGTTTTTTCAGAAACATATGGTTCTTCCTACAATACATTGCCGCCATAGTTTGTGCCATCGTCATTGCCACTGCCTGCCACGCCCACCACCTCGGCCTAATGATCTGCGGCTTCACTGGCAATCCAAAAATCCAACATTCCGAGCCTGAAGAGGAGTCTCTCTTGGCTCTCGCTCTACTACGCTGCCGCGGCCAACTCATTATGCTCCGCCGTCTTCTCATCCTTTAAAGCTGCCGGCCATGTGAGGCACGAGAACAAGCGAGGAGGCTTGCCTGTTAGTGGCCTTGATACTGCCTGTGAGACACAAGAACCGGCAGCTGTACACTTAATTGGCGGCACCAGACGCAGTTACGAGAAAAATAATGAACTACATCGGTATATATTGTTTTCTACACCATTTTCAAATGCCGCTATTTGGGAAAAGCGTCGAGAACAAGGTGCTGCACATGGTCATAAACACAAATGCTGCAATTTTCTAGTACCAAGTATTGCAAGAGATCACAAATGAAAGGAAAATTATTCTCCAAATGCTTCAAGACGGATAATCTATATCAATACTTGAAGCTTGAGTCGCATCGAAAAAGTTGTTATTTCTCTCTGATACATTCCAGTATTGCAAAAACGCTCGTAAAAAACTTCTCACCAAGCAGTTGTCCACGGAATACAAGTTTAAAAAGACAACTATAGCTGATTGTTCTCATCAGCTAATCAGGTATAGCCTCGAATTGAACTTGTCAATGGTTAAAACCTTCTAGCTGCTAAATCACTGCTTGTTCAAAGGAATCAGAAACGGAAACTAAAGAAAGAAACCGGTAGCACCTACCAGAGGACTCAAACTTTTAACCGCAAAAATTGAGCTTCTTCATCACTGTAGCATAAGCAGGATGGACAAGGGCAGGTACTCTTAGTCTACGCTTAGATATCTTCGACTGCATAGGATACAAAATTTCATTAATTTCAGGAACAAATTGGTACGTCTAGAGCTCTGGTCTACTAAATACCATTCGTAAATCATGAATGTACCTCGGACCAAAAATAAAATAAAAAAATTGTGAATGCACCATTATAAAAAATGTCGTACTCAGTGCACAAGGCTCCCGCTTTACGCAGGGTCTAGGAGAGGTGAATGTCGGCTAGCCTTACCCCCATTTATGGAGAGGCTGCTCCCAAGTCTCGAACCCGAGACATACCGCTCATGGACGAAGGCACTTGCCATCGCACTAAGTGCGACCTCTATAATGAGAGAAGAAAGGCATTTGCAATAAAAGGAACGAAAGTCTGATCGAGCATGTCAAGACACCAATAAGAGATTTAGCTGCACTAATAGGGCAATGGACAAGAATACATACTCGTTCATGTTGCTTCCCAGACAGAGGAGCTAATCAACATATTGATGACCAAAATAAACATAATCCACAAATGAGGTAGGGGAAAAAGAAAAGAACTGTGACCCTAATGACGACAATGCCAATTCATCCGGAATTGTTTCACCAGAAACAAACATATACCAAGCAGCATGCATCATGAAATTAAAGAAATAACTAGTCCAAATTATAATCAACAATCGACGCACCAATATAACTCCTTTTTGTATAATGTCTCAAATTAATGGGGATCAATCATGTGCTTACAAGACTTTATTTTACTCGAATCTTTAAAAATCTTGTACCCTTTAGTGCTCCCAAAATCCGTTATTTAGGAACATTGCAGGCCACGAGATACCAGCTAATGTAACAACTTTTCATCAATTTCATTTAGAAATCACAACTCAGGATAAGAGTGTCCTTTTGCTAACAAAGCTGTGCAAATAGCGTTGCTGTACATTCTTAAATAGAGAGGCGCTTTCACATCTTCTTAACTGGAAACGGCTGGGGAGAGGAAAGATTTCATTTTTAAGGGCTTGTATAGGCCATATGCGGGATACTTATAGATAGACATAAACCAAGGGTGCTGGTCAGCAAATGAAAACTGGTTGTAAGGGAATTTTCAGTAGGTAATTGAACTTCAAACTTGCTGAGTACCACTCTAAGTAACAAAAATAGTGAAAAATAAATAAAAATCGCTTGTTCCGCATGTGACATCATGACTTGTAGGTTTCAATGGAGCAATATTGTAACTAGAGCAGTCGTTCAAACAACTCTCTTTTTATTATATGTAGAAAACTTTACAGGAACCTGAAATGTGAATAAGCAATATGACAACACTTATCTAATGCTTTGGGAGACACCTAACACAAAAAAAAACACACGTGCTAACATATAGTGAATGTATCTATATGAATATATGAAATGAGAAACCAAGATGATTGACCACCTATATTGCAAGTTGAAGCCATCAGGAGTTTTGTATTGCAAATCATTCTCAAGGCGATTATTGGATGATTCTTGTCCTTGTCCTTTTGGTCCCTCTCAAGCAATTCGGGAGGCTAAAGTACAACCTAAAGTAAATGTATTAGCTTGCGTTATTGCATCTCCAACTTACAGGTATTAACCTAGTGTAGAATTAACGCAGAATTTTGAACCATTTTAATGTTTCATTGTCCAGTTGCATATTTCTCGTGGATAATGTTCACTAGAAAAAGCGAGTTTGTCAGATTCCAGCCACTTATGCAATGGCGTAGCCACCCACAAGGCTAAGGTGGGCTGTAGCCCAGGGAGGTTTTCTGTAAGAGTAGTGTTATCCATGCACTCATTTTTATTGCTCACACACTCCTCTCAATTTTCTATTGTTCGGATCGAATGAATTGAAAATGATCACATATACAAAATTAATAAGGTTGTGTTGGAGGTAAAAATGAGTTTGTGAATAGAATTATTCTTTTGTAAACTCATGCTTATAGCCTACTCAATTTCAATACGTATTATTATTTAATGTATATTTAGTAGAGGATATGTAGTAAATAATACGTTTTATGCTAAAAATTATAAATTAGTTATATCTCCAGTCCCCCTTTATCTTATTCTTTAAACAAAAAGACCAATTACCCTATGTAATTTAGTCTTTGTGCTTCTTACTCAAGAAAAGAATTTTTTTTTTAAATCCACAATTAAATCTCTATCTCCGCAATTCCTTACTTTGTGTTGCGATTTTCCAATGAATGTCACCTTTGGTATGTTCTTAATCACTTTATTTACTTATTCTTGATTTAATTAGTAGGTTAATTTTATATGGTCCTTGAATGTATCAGTTAGGGTTATGATTTTAAGAATAGTTTATATTATATTGTTGTTCTTTTATATTGATTATTATATAATTTTATATGAGCAAAAAAATAAACATATGATTTTATGGTACTATTTTCAGCTAGCCCACCCAAGAAAAAAATCCTAGCTTCGCCCTTGCACTTATGTGAAAAGTTAAAAGTTTTTTGGAGGGAGGAAAGGGTTTGGTGCTAGGGGCATGCCTCCTCGAAAAATGAATGTCACAAATTAGAGCTACTGGCCAGCAAACAAATAGATGATCACATTCTCTTCTTTCATCTTTACACATAATAGACCAATAAGGGGAGAGACGGCAATTGGTTCTTCTTTGTTTATTTTCTGATTGCAGATGCTCACCAGTCTGCCCTACATCACTATGTGGTCTCAACAAAAGCAAAACGTTTATAAGGAGGAAATCGCCACTATTGTCACGTGTGCGCCATACTACCCTGTCAGCAATGGAGATGGAAAAGTAAAGAAAGATTGAGGTAACTTCACACGCACTTAAACTTTGAGGGGCAAAGTGAGACACAAGTGATATTTTGAGAGGCATTGCGATAAATAACCCTATTTTGTATTTTTGACATTCTATCAGCATAACTCCGCCTATGTCTTACATGGCCGGTCCCAAGCCCGGATAAAGGAGGAGGGGGAGGGCGTCAGGTAGTCGACAGTCGGCACTCCATGATCACGTCGAATCCTTATGAAAATGAATCCAGAACAAAATCGCGCTAAAGCTAGGGCGTCACCCGTAAGTGGCGAGCTGTGTGGCCCGAGCACAGTGATAAGTGAGCAAGGGTCGCTGTATCTCCATCGGCACCCAGATGCAGTGTTAAATGAGCAAGGGGGCCATAGAAACTTCTTTTCGAACGATTCCACTCAAAGTTGTTTGGGAGCATATGCTCCTATCAACTTTACCCGGGACACACAAAAGAAGTACTTTGATCCTATTAGACGGGGGAGGGTGAAGAAGCTAGGACAGAAGGGTAGAGTTCAAGAGAGCAAAATGCGTTTAGGAACGTGGAATATAGGAACCTTAACGGGAAAATTCATGGAAGTAGTGGAAGTTATGGTGAGGAGAAGGATAAATATTATGTGCCTACAAGAAACTAAGTGGGTTGGTAGTAAGGCAAAGGATCTAGAAAACTCAGGGTTTAAACTTTGGTATTCGGGCACAAATAGAACGAGAAACGGTGTTGGCATCATCGTGGACAAAACCTTGGTACAAGATGTTGTAGATGTCAAGAGGGTAGGAGATAGAATCATGGCAATCAAGATTGTAATAGGACAAGAACTTATCAATGTGATTAGTGCGTACGCACCTCAAGTAGGGTTGGATACGAGTTCGAAGGAGAAATTTTGGGAAGATCTTGGAGACTTGGTGCAAGGAATTGCTCAGACGGAGAAGTTATTTATAGGAGGAGATTTAAATGGACACGTGGGCAGGGAGACAGGCAACTATGGAGGTTTTCATGGTGGCCATGGTTTTGGGGAGAGAAACGAGGATGGGGAAGCTATCTTGGATTTTGCAATGGCATATGATCTCTTCTTAGCCAACACCTTCTTTAAGAAGAGAGAAGAACATGTGATCACCTACAAGAATGGGTCGTCAAAAACACAAATAGATTTTCTTCTAATGAGGAAAGGGGATCGTATAACTTGTAAGAATTGCAAAGTTATACCAGGAGAGAGTGGCTAATCAACATCGCTTGTTGGTGATGGATGTACATATCAAAAGAGTAAGACAAAAGAACAAGACTTGGAAGTGCCCAATGACTAGATGGTGGAATCTAAAAGAAGAAAAACAAGCCATTTTCAAAGAGAAGGTAATCACCCAATGTGTGTGGGATAGAGAGGGGGAAGCTAGTCTTTTCAATGAAGGACATGAAATGAGTGCTTCTTTAGGGGAGTTGAGTAACTCAGAAGAGTGTAGAAACTACTCTTTTTATCGTCGAATCCGGAAGGAAGAAGTGGTTGTAGCTTTGAAGAAGATGAAGCATAAAAAAGCAATAGGCCCAAACGATATACCAATCGAAGTGTGGAAACTTTTGGGAGAGACAGGTATAACATGGCTCACTGACCTTTTCAATAGGATTTTGAAAACGAAGAAGATGCCAAATGAGTGGCGAACGAGCACTTTGGTGCCTATCTACAAGAATAAGGGCGACGTACAAAATTGCATGAACTATAGGGGTATTAAGCTAATGAGTCATACAATGAAGCTCTGGGAGAGAGTCATTGAGCATAGATTGAGGCAAGAGACACGGGTTTCGGACAACCAATTCGGGTTCATGCCAGGGCGCTCAACCATGGAGGCAATCTATCTCTTACGAAGATTGATGGAAAGATATAGAGATGGGAAAGAGGATTTACACATGGTCTTTATAGATTTGGAAAAAGCGTATGATAGGGTCCCAAGAGACATTCTTTGGAGGATTTTAGAGAAGAAAGGAGTACGAGTAGCATATATCCAAGCTATAAAGGATATGTATGAAGGAGCAAAGACTGCCGTAAGAACTCATGAAGGACAAACCGAAAGCTTTCCCATAACTGTAGGATTACATCAAGGCTCATCCTTAAGTCCTTACCTTTTTGCGTTGGTAATGGATGAGTTAACAGGACATATTCAAGATGATATTCCTTGGTGTATGCTTTTCGCAGAAGATATAGTGTTGATAGATGAAACTCAGGAAGGGGTAAATGCAAAGCTTAACCTTTGGAGAGAAGTG